TGGGGGGAGCGGGGTGGGGGGTGGGGGATATTGAATGTTGGGAACGACTTACAAAGAAATGAGGGCTTTGCACTTGAAGTAGGTATCGTCTTAACTCCTCTCTCTTCACTGTTTCTCAGTGGATAGAGATGGCAGAAAGTTACTTTGTGGCAACAGGGTTACTAATGACAGAAAGTTGAAGCCTCTAATCATGATTATGAACAGTGGTGCAATGAGTATCTTCTATGGTCTCTAACATGAAGTGGAAATGCTTTTTCTTCTGGGAATGTAGGGAGAATGAGTGTTAGGGTTGGTATTCCTTTGTATCGCATGTAGCAGCTGAAGTCAAATACCTTTATTCGTCTCCATTGTTGTGTTTGGTGTAGTGACGTTAACTAATATAAAATGCTTGCATTATATTTGTTATTAATAGTTAAAGGTTTTGCAGAAAAAAAAGTTCTGGGTTAATGCAGCAGAGGTAGCACCGTTTGTGAGTGATGGGTTAGCGAGGAATGATTTGAGGGTACTCAAGGACGGACAGGTGGTGCATAGTCACCTGGGAGTAACTTGCATTTCAGAAATTGGCTTGATTGTTGAGTCAGGAAGACCTCTAAGTTTCAAACCTTGATAACAGGGATGTTGATAGATTGTATTGACAAAGACAGGAAAGATAAATGAGAGTGAGTTATGAATGATAAACCAGCCAGCTGAGTGTAAGAAGTAGTTGAGGGTGAGAGTCTGAAAAACTTGTTCTAAAAACCATGGTTTTAAACTACTTCTGATTTTTTTAATTAAAAATAATTTAACTGATACATTAAAATATAAAAAATTATGCATATTGTTATTCATATTTATGAGTACCCTGTAATGTGTTAATAGATGCAAACTATATTTTTATTGAGCTTTAACTTGATATAGATTTCCCCCATGTTAGTGTATACTATGTGCATTTTGGCAGGTATACATACTTCTGTAAGCAGCATCACTCAAGATGAGAATTAGCCTAGCATCCTAAAAAGGGCCTTCTTACTCGTCATAATCAAATCTGTCACCTTCACCTAACTATTGTTTCCTTTTCTGTCTTCATCTAATTAGAATTAGAGCTTACAGTGCACAAGGGACCAACTACAGTGACCAAGAGCTGACTCCAAGTCCCAGCAATTTTCATCTTGATTTTCTGACTCAGATGTTTAACATGGTATCAGAAGTGGGGTGACAAATGGCGTAGCTGAGTGGGAGCCATTACTCTACAGCTTCAGGGACACAGTGCTTTCAGAGTTCTCTTACCTGGATGACTGTGGAAACCTCTGCAAGATTTTCCTGCTCTGAGCTTTGTCTGTCTGTTTTCAGCTCTGTGGTCAGCAGTAATGAGACCTCCTGGTTCCTCTCAACACTGGAGAATGGAAATGGCTCCTCTTTAACTAAGAATGAAAGCATGTTGTGAAAAGAGACCTAGAGGAGTCTGGACTCCCGGGGTCCCTTGTGGTCCACCAGGGCTTTCCTTTGTGTGTTCCTTGTTCTCAGCTTGTCCACTCTAGCTCTTCTGGTATTTTGTCTTTCTCACACAGGTCACCCCTGTGCCTGTATATTACCTTTGGGATGTTTTCTGGTTTTGTTGTTGGTTTGCTTTGTACTGAAATGACATCCAGAGCGTGTGTTAGCCATGCTACAGTTTGAAATTCACTGCCTCTTTTTTTTTTTTTTTTTTTTTATAAATGTCAGTAGTGGGACGATCGACCATTTTTTCTTGTAAAAGGATGAAGAGACAACTACTATATTTCTCTAGGACATTTATAAAAAGTTATCTTCACCTTGAGAAGAAACTGACAATATAAATGTCCACAAATTCACTGCCTCTTAACAGGCAACAGCGTTGTACAACCCTTCCCTTTCTCTTGCTCAAGAATATTTTAAACACCTCCTAATGAGCCCTGTTCCCATTAAACAGTCCCTTCCCACTTTTCCTGTCTTCTCTCTCTGTCTTACTCTCCACTGCCAGCGACCACTGATCTGATTTCTGTCTTCACTGGTTTGCTTATTCTGGTTATTGCATATAGGTGGAATCCTATAACGTGATCTTTTGTGTCTGCCTCCTCTTGGCTTGGTATGTGTTCAGGGTTTATCTACAGATTATCCTTTCAGCATGCAATAGGACTTTATTTGGCTAATATGGCTTATTGATCCATGGATGGTTATTAGGTTATTTTATTTCATTTCATTTTATTGTTTTGCTATTGTGAACATCCTGGTATGGACTTTTATTTACAAATTCTTGTTTGAATTAATTGTGGACTCTATCTAGAAGTAGAACTGTGTAGTCATATGATCTTGCTATGTTTAGTATTCTGAGGAACTATCAAACTTTCCCAATAGCTGAACCTTTCTGCATTCCCTTTAGCATGCATATCCTCACAATTGGGAAATTTTCACTCAAAGTTGACCCTCCCAGTGAGATCTACCATGAGCACTCTGCTAGCCTTGGAGCATGCTCCGGCCCTCACCCTTATTTCTTTAGTTTGCTTCTTCCCTTTGCATGTTTGTCTGGCTCCTTTTTCAGTTGTATAAATGATGTTTCAACCTACTTACTGCTTTATACATGTGGAGACTTTTTCCTGTGACTCTGAAGACAGAGGACCCGTGTGCCCGGGCAGTCTCTCACACAGTTGTTACTATAAGAGTATGTATGGCTAGTTATAAGAAAAACTAAGTTTCTCGTGTTTATTAAAACTCAGTGAAACAATGGTTACTCACTCTGCGTTCTTAACTGCTGGGTAACTAGGTTTGCAACTTCATGATTATTTGCTATTTTGTTGACTAGGTTTTCTGAAGATTTCTCATGGGTCTAGCAAATTAGACATAATTTTCATACTTCACAAATGCCGATTGAGTTTATTTTTCAGGCTAGCAACTTCAACCTCAAAAATAGGCAATTCAATAACTACATATTGGATTGAAATAGCTTCCTAAAGGTTATGGAAAGCCTTTTGGCCTGAGACACAAATGAAAAGGGCCTGGTTATCAGCACACTGTTTCCCGAAGTCTCTTTACTGAGGGAACACTCGAGAGTGCTTTTAAAGATGTCTACTTGTTCCAGGGCTAATCCCAGGGCACAGTAAGATGGAGATATAATTCCGTAAAACATGGAGCATCAGGTTGGAATCTAGGCCAGTGAGCTCTGATACTGATACTCTCAGTGTGGCCTGAGCCACAGGATTAGTTGGGTAAACTGCTGATAGCCTCGTTCCGAGGGGTTTCTTTTTTTAAACTCACCATTCCATTTGTTCTTTTACATTTGTATTTTTCCTAGAATCCATTCCCATTTCAAACTCAGTACTAAGAAGAAATTGAGACTACGTCTTTGCAAAGGATTCAATGTTCTTTCTGTGTCAGTGTGCTGGGGTCGACATGAGCTCTTAGTACAGTGATACCCATGGATTATGTGGCAGGAGAATTTGAAAATATTTTGTATTTTTTAAGTAAGATGATTTCAGGTTACATTATTTGAATGTTGTTTCTATTAATTCTGGGTATTGAAATAGGGGCTAATGATAATAATGCGTTATGATTAGAGAATATAATTCTTAGGAAAAAATGAAAAGCATTTGGAAACAGAGAACAAGGATGAAAACTGAGGGCCTTTTTCCTGGCTGGATATGTGGCCTAGCATATTGTTTGCTTTCTGGATAGTCTAAGAACAAACAGGGACTGGAGGGCTCATTCCTTTTGTTGGTTAACACACTGACAAAACACCATAGAACTTTGCAGCATAAATACTCAGTCAGAAAAACGTCTTTATAATTTTTTTCCAGTTCACTTCACGATCTCAGTATCTATCTTATGCTGTTTAAATATCTAACGTTTGAAAAAACAGCAGTGACACCAGAAGTGATAGGTAAAAGTCAGAATTAATCACATTGTTCTTGTCTGTCCCATGTCCTATGGAGTCTTCACAGTCCCTCCGTGCAGTCTGTTTATGCCCATTTCTGGCTCTCCTGCCAGCAGTAAGGTTCTTATGGAGTGCTTGATAGTCCTCGCCATCCACAGAACCTTGCACAGTAGGCTCTCACTAGGATGGGAATGTAGCACACCCAGAGGCCATGACAACTGTCTGTATTCAGCTGTGCTATCTCTCCTGTCGAAAGGCACTTGAAAATACTCTCAGGATACTGGGAACTGTTCTGAAGCAGCAGTTACTGTAATTCTGTCATAATTATATACAAACCGCTCTCGTTCTCATCTGTAGGGAGGTGGGTAAGAGTTTGGAAACATGGGTGAAAGTGTGATTGATGTGTTTAGGGATACATGAGCTATGACACACTGTAGCTGTTTCTCTTGAGGCATCTTGAACAGGCACAGACTCTGGGAAGATGTGTTGCAATGCTGTGCACTAATAGGGAGAAACAGAAACGACTGTCCAAGCCACATGCTTCGTCTGGGCTCTGCTCAGGAGATCGCACTGTTGACACATACCGTTTTTCTCTTGCATACCCACAAACGATGAGAGGGCAGCTGTCCAGCACTACACTCAGTGTGTGCCGTCTCATCTGCATGCTTTTTCCACCATGGTTTCTACACAGTGTGGTTTCTGTTGGAAGTTTATGTTTATTCAGAGTGGTCAGATTTGAATTCCAAGATATGAGTAATATTTATTTTTATTTAATATTACTAGGGAGTTTGTTAGACAGTACTCTGCTCCCTGTCTTTGGCAAGAGGTTTTATAGCCGTTTCCCCTGCTTTTCAGAGAAGGATTTGTATTACAAATACATCTTAACTTGTTATTATTGCAGGGTTTCATTTGCTTTAATTTAGAAAATTCCAGGCTTCCTTTATTTTGTCTCTACAAGATTCCAAATTCTCTTCAACTGGGAATATTGAAAAGATATTAGTCGTGGTTTCAGTCCTGAGCTAACTCGGTTTGCTTTAGAGAACAAACCACTTAAACAAAGGAAAGAAGAACTGGTGTGCTCATTTCGTTCTGAATTCTGTATAGTCTAACGTGCTTCTGTCCGTCTTTCCCACAGGTCCATGTCCAGCCATCGGAATGGCACCGCACGCTCTTTCTTCCACAGGCCTGGCTTGCGTATATGACTCGAGCATACCATGCTGTTCTACAGGTCAGGACACAAGGGGTGTGCTTTGTGGGGCAGCATTTCCTCCTCATCACAATTTTATAACAATGTGTATATACTCTGGAGTTAACTACACAGCATCTGCCACCGCGTGCTTCTAAGGTCCCAGTGAAAAACCAAGGTTTAACTGCACTAAGACCTCCTAGGAAACAAATGAGTTCATTGGGCATATTTACAAAGCATGGGTGTGGCTTATTGACATGAATGGAGTGATTCCAAAGCATCCTCCCCAGAAAACTTTTCCCTAGCATGAATGATAGTTTCCTCATAGTTGAATGGATAAAGCCCCCTTTCCCTAAGCTTCTCTGGCTTTCATCCTTTAGCCTCTCCCTGACACCCCAAGAGCCTGTGCCATTAAGGCAGTATTACTCACACCTGGTTGGAAGGAGTAGTTGAATACTCAGGTGTGGGTTCCATGACCTTCCCCCTTCTCCTCCTATTGAGGAACACCATTGTTCAGCAAGCCCAGTTGGATGATGTTTTGCAAATGGCACAGCTGACCTCCTGCAGGTGGAGATTGTTCTGCCCAGAGGATCGTGTTGAGAAAGTATAAAAGCACTTGGGAAAATAGCACTAGCATTATCAAAAATGCCATGGTTCCTTTTGTTCATAAGAAGTGTGAGTCACAGGGCAGTAATAGCACAGGCGTTTAATCCCAGCACTCAGGAGGCAGAGGCAGGCGGATCTCTGTGAGTTCACAGCCATCCTGGTCTACAGAGTGAGTTCCAGGACAGCCAGGACTGTTTCACAGAGAAACTCTGTCTTGAAATAACAAAACAAAACAACAACAACAAAGAAATGTAAGGCTTGAGACTTCTGTCTGTCTCTTGCACACATACCCTTCAAGGAAGAGAGGGTGGAAAGATTCTGAGAGTCAGAGACTTGAAGGAGCCGAGTGAAGACAGAGGGCCGACAGCACGCTCTGTCACTCACGAGCGGACAGCAGCTGCCGTTGTCTGTACGCCAGGCGGCATTCCCACATGGAGAGGAGGGAGCTCATGGTTCTGCACTCCTGGCAGAGAAGCTGTTGATAGTCGATGGCGTGTGGGGGAAGGAGAGTCAGTTTTATTTAAGGGTGCAGCTCCTGATATGTGATCAGGCTCCAGTGGATAGCCCCTCTCTCATGAGTATATCAGCAAGAGCTAAGATAAGAAAGGGGAGAAAGTGTGAGGGGTAGAACTGGAATAGTAAGGGGGAGGAGCTGCGAGTGAACATGTTCTGAATGTAAGTATGGGTGTCTCAAAAATTAATATAAATACTATGTTAAGTAAGGCTCATGTATATAGTTACCCTTAAATTCAAATGTGAATATTCCTACGTTCGTGTGCCCCACCCAGACCTCCCTCCTCAGCTCTACTCTCTTCTGCCCTTTTGGCCTTCTGAGTATCCAGCTTGACTGTCCCAGAGTATTTGGATTTGAATGCCCCCACACTGAGCCCCGCGTCTTGTCTCTATGCTGAACCTGCCTGGATCTTTTGCCTCATCTCTTGACCCTCCTCCCAGACATTTATGTTTCAGCTTTTCCAGATTTTTGTTTTCCGAACATCGGCATATATCCCTGATGTCCTAGCTTTCATACATACTGTCCCTTTCTGCCTCAGAGGCTGCTATTCCCCATATGCTCACCTCGTTTTAACTTGTTCTTTATTAGCTGGGGGAAGGTACTTGGTGTACTTAACTCCTATCCCTCACTGGATTATAGGCTCCTCTCCTCTCACATTGGTAGCCCTGTTTTTCTTTTTTTGAAGCTCTTATCATATTGATTTTTAATTAATTGATAACTAATTAATTAATTTTGTATCCCGACTGCCGTTTCCCCTCCTTTTTTTTCTTCCAGTACCCGCCTTGTCGCCACCCCCAACCCACACCTCTATTTCTGTTCCAGTAAGGGCTGGCCTTCCATGGATATCAGCAAAACATGGCAAGTCAAGTTGCAGTAAGACTAGTCATCTCCTCATATATTAAGACTGGGCAAGGAGACCCAGTATGAGGAGTAGGCTCCCAAAAGCCAGCAGAAGAGTGGGAGACGGCCCTCCTCCCACTGTTAGGAATCCCACAGAGGACTGAGCTACAGGACTGTAACATACGTGCAGATGGCCTAGGTCAGTCCATCGGGTTCCCTGGCTGTCAGTGCAGTCTCTGTGAGGATCCCTGGAACGCCTCCTAATGTTTGGCTGAGCCTGCGTCTGTTTCCATCCCTTGCTGGAGGAAGCCTCTCTGATGATGGTTGGCTAGCCACCAATCTATGAGTGTAGCAGAATATTGTTAGGGATCATTTCAGGGACTTTTTATTATTTTATTTTATTTTTGCCTCCAGCCGTGTTTGGTTCTGTCCTAGGTCTCCTGGCCATCCAGCCTGTGGGTCTTGGTGCTCCAGGCAATGTCAGGGGTGGACATACTGTCCTGGCATGGGTTGGGGACTCCCTCAGTCTCCAGGCCACCCTCACCTTAGCATACCCCATAGGCAGGACAGACTGTTGTCTGGTACCTACAGTTGTCTTTATTCCTTCAGGACTTCCTTTGCTGTTGTCTGCCATCTGTGTCTGAAACAACAGTTGCTCTCCAGATATATAAAACACACTCAGTTGGCCTACTTTCAATCCAGGATTACAAATGTTAATGTAGTTTTTAAATGTCAAATATAGTTTTTATCAGCTGGGAACTATTCAAATGGGCAAGGTTGAATTCTGTTTTGTGGCTGGAAAGTCATTGTTAAGAATGGCGTGTGCTAGGGGAGGGAGCTGAGATTACTTAAGTGACATGCTCAGAAGAAGACTTTTATGGAGTTTAAGGAATCATGGTGTCATAGGTATGTCTGCTCTGCGAGGACACAGAGAGTGAGAGCCAGAGGATGGGCCGGAAGGGAAATGACTGAGTTTCTGTACTTTTGTGTTCCCATCTTGAATTCCCATGCAGCAGAGCAAGTATTTAACCTAGAATTTGTAAAGGTGGAGAGCTTCTGACTTTTTAGAACTGAGGAGGGGCCCAGGGTCTCTGCATCCTCAACACCAGGTCCTTCTAAGGTGCTTAGTCTGCAGCCATTTTAAACACCATTGCTTTAGTGTTATTTACCCAGTGTTTCATCTCCCAGGTCTGGGTGCTCCTTATATTTTGAATAGTTCCTGGGTAAAGGAAGGAGCTTCCGTCTGTGTGCTTCCCTGTCCTCATCATACCAGACAGTTTCTATTCATGAGGAGAGATTCCAAGGCAGGACACGGACTTCATCTTCATGTCCCCCTCAGTCCCTTTGCAGTTTTTCCTGGCCAGGCACAGTGCTGAGCATGTGGGTTACAGAAGGAAATGCCCCGTCCAGTCAAGGAAGCTACAGGCACCTTAGCGGTTTCACGGCCGCGTTCTCCATGCTTGACTACAGAAGGGACAAAATTCTGCAGACACCTGGACAGAAGGAGACGAACAGCTGCTACAGTCAGCTGAGAATTTATACTGCCTTAAGGCAGTAGTTCCCAACGTGTGGGTCACGGCCCCTTTGGCAAACGTCTGTCTCCAAAACTACTTACATTATGATTCATAACAGTAGCAAAATTCCAGCTGTGGGGTAGCAATGAAAACAGTGTTATGGTGGGGGTCACCACAGCATGAGGAACTGTGTCAGAGGGCTGCAGCGTTAGGAGGCTGAGAACCACTGCTTTAAGGGGAAGAAGGGCTAAGTTGAAGGGATTGCGATATAATTCACACTTTACAAAAGTTTCTGTTTTCTCCATGACTGCTGCTATTGGTTGAATAACTAGTATGTAGCTAACACTTAACATACACCATTTCAGTTAATCGTTACAGAAACCCCACAAAGTATATGTTATCAAACCCATGTATAATGGTATTATCGGTAGACAAGCAGGGTCAGCTAGGAAAGGAAAGCCAACAGCTCAAAGCCAACAGTTGGTAAATGGGAGAAATAGAATTTAATTCGGGAATCTTCTGATTCTAGAGCCTCGCATGATTGCCTAGCACCATCATCAGTTATAGTAGTATGTAACACAGGTTGGTCTAACATTTTATTTCCTCATTACATTCATTAATTTAGTGTGCGTATGTGCGTACGTGGGTGTAGGCATGCCATGGTACACATGTGGAAATAAGAGGACAGTTTGCGAAAATAGTAGGTGCGGGTCTAGGGACTGAATTCAGGTCGTCAGGATGGGAGGAAGTGTCCTACCTGCTGAGCCAGCCTTCTTGTACCAGTCTAATAAAGGGCGAATCTATTTGTGAGAAGTTTTTTTTTTTTATTTTTAATAATGTAGGTCAAGTATTCTCTTCTGCTGGCGTGGTGATATGTGCATTTGTCTGCTTTCACTAAAGACCTCTGCACATCCTGTTGCATTGATAGTCGGTGAAAACGTGAGCCGGAAAGGCTCGAGTGAGGAACTCAGCAGTGTGCCGTAGGTTTGTTGCCGCTGCCTGAGAGGCACTGATGGGCTTGGCCGCTGAGTTTGACTGTATTTGGAACTTACAGCATCCTAGGTGAACTGGAGCAACGTTGAGTTCCTCACCATTACAAGAATCTGTGTCCTGGAGCTGTCTTCTGTTAGTTACAGCAGCTATGCATACTTCTGTCTGTTGCTGGGCAGGTTTGGTAGCATTAAGTCCATCAGTTAGAGGAGCCTTTTCCTTGGTTAGCCTTAGGTGACAGGCTGAAAGGGGTTCGTCCTACACTAGTTCCTAGACATGATAGGGCACGGATAGTTTGAGACCTGAATCCTGTTAGTGCATTCTGCTTGGTCATCTCCCGCCTTACCCAAGTGTTCCAGAGGAATGTGGGATTCGAATTGCATGTCAGTTTTCCGGACATGCTGGAAGTAGGTGGACTTCTTCCCATCCAGGGAGAAAATACAGAGACAGACTGATCAGGTGTTCTCATACTGTCTCGCTAGCGAGTGTTCTAATTGGCTCTTCACCAACCAGTTGGCAAGGAACTTTCTATTCACTGTAGTTCCGGAAAATATACTGCCCTCATCTAGCCTTGATGGGCACCTGCACACACATAACGTATATTTACACACAAACACATGAATGTAATTTTTAATTTAAAAAAAGTTGGACAGAACAGGAATCCAGAGTTAGTAGACCTTTGAATGGATACGCAACCTCATTAGTAAACAATGAAATCAGATTAAACCATGGTGGGTATCTCAAGAATGATGATGCTCTACTAAAGATATTCATAATGATATGAAATAACCAGAATAAATGACCTTATTATTTTTTAATTAAAAGTTCTGTTTTATTATTTTATGTGTATGGGGTTTTGCCTGCATATTTTGTGTTCCACTTACATGCAGTACCCACCTAGGCCTGAAGATGACACAAGATCCCATTGGAACTGGAATGCAGATGGTTCTGAGATGCTATGTGGGTGCTGGGAATCAAATTTGGGTCCTCTAGAAGAGCAATCAGTGCTTTTCAACTCCATACGATCTCTCCAGCCCCCAAACCTTCTAGAAATAGCTAAGCATTGCTCTATATGCTTAATAAAATCTGAGCTCTTGCCCAAGTTAGAATCCATCAGTAAACTACTGTTTTAATTACATTAGATAATATCATTGATAATGGAATAAAGGAATAATGGAATAAAGTGAAATACCTGATTACGGTAATACAGTAAAAACTAAAAGGTTTAATAATTGGAAGGTGTTGGTCTTAAAGGAACAATATTAACTATATTTTTGTTACATGGCTGAAGTTGGTATATGTTTTTATAAGTTCATCCAAGAAGTATTAATGAATACTAGTGATTACCATTTTTCACATAATGCCTGCATCTCAAGTTTTGCATTCTCATCTAATTAATCTCCTGCTGCGCTGTCGTGACAGTGGTGTTCAGACCTCTGTCTTTGCATCTCTAAAATTATCAGCTGCCATTGCCATGTCGCTGACTTTTAAAACGGGACTGTGAGAATCAGATCTGCTTTGAAAGGCCTTCTGAAGTGAAGCCTGAACTGGCTGAGCCTGCAGCCTCTTTAGGCCTCTCCCCTAGCGAATGCAGGAATTCACCGAGCAGAGATGTGAGTGACTCACTGACTTTCAAGGTCTACTATGCCATCAGGACCACTTGTGGCCGGTTTCTAAGGGAATTTTAGCCAGCAGCTCTGCATGCTGATCCCTCTTGTGTGGTTTGCAGGGCAGGATAGCGGAGCTGGAACTGCAGTTGCAGCATGGGAAAGAAGGACCCGAGGAGGTGCAGTACAAGCGAAACACAGCCTGGCTCTGGTAAGCGGATGACATTCGGCTGCACACTCTTGTCACAGGATGTGAGCAATGAAGGGAACAGTAAATGCCTTAAATGCTTCCTTGCTGACTGCATTACCTTTTGTGTGAGCCGGAGGGAACTCGGAAGACCGGATAGGTTTATTCACCTACTCCCTAGATACGTTTGTATGCATGTGTGCTTGCATTCCCATCCCTAAGGGTCTGTGAAGGATTGTTACCAGTATCCCCTGCAGAGAGCAAAACCTACTGAGGTCATGTCTCATATACACAGCATAGTAATCTACGCACATCCTCCTACATATAAATCACCTCCAGATTACTTGGCTAACTTATACAATGTTAATTCTTGTACTATCCTTGTGGACTACTAATGTTCCAGGAAAATGACAAGAGTCTACACAAGTACAGTCCAGATATAATGTTGCCCAAATATTTGTAATCTGTGTTTGATTGTATTTATAGACTTGGAACTCACATGTACAGAGGGCTAACTGTACTAATATGTCTCTACTTTTTTTTTCTAGTGCAGTGTGAGAATGGTATGGTCCCCTCAGCGTTGTTTCTTTAACTGATTGTTTTAGTCCTTTTGAGAAAAATTCTATTTCCCCAGTCAACGCATTACCATTCCCCCTCCTATGGAGTCTGGAATTCCTCCTCTTCTCCTTTCTCCATGAAGACATCTTCATGATTGTGACGATCTTCCTATCTCAGACCTTCAATTTTTCAGCAGATGTTCTCTGGGGTGTCCTTACTGTATTACCCAGAATTTATAAGCGCTAACACACTAAGAGCATCAGTTGTTATGTAGTTTGAGAAGAAAACTAGCACCCAATAATAGGGGAGAAGCAAGAGACTGTTGTTTCTCTAGAGCCAGGGACAGAGAGTGGTCCAAGAAGGGGACCAGCATTGTGTCAAATATTGAAGATGGAGATTGAGAACTGAGTGTTCAGTCTAGCTTCTTGGAAGTCTTCTGTGACTGCGAAGGGAACTGTTTGGGTGGAATTGTGGGATGAAAGCCAGACTAGGGATGGACTTGAAGCAGACCCAGTTAATTCTATTCTGAAAGGGTCTGATGCGAAAGAGTGGCCGTGGTGTCAGTAGCAGTTGGAAGGCCTTTCTTCCCTGGGAGAGTAGATACTACAGCATCTTCACTTGCTAAGGGCAAGGATACAGGAAGGGGAAACTGGTGGTGCAGTGCAGAGAGTCGGGCCAGGAGGAGCGCAGGGAACCACGCGAGCCTGTTAATAGACAGCTCCTCAGTAGTTACTGTCACACGCTGAAAAGTAAAAGACTACAGAAAGTGTGGACAATCTGTAGGGAAATTCGTCATTGAATTACTTTTAAAATTATGCCTGTGGACTATTAGAGCCATTGCAGTGGGTTCTTCAGGATGACTTATTTTCAGGAAAGCTGACTCAACTTACTAAGAGTTTATTGTCAGGTGCAAAAAGTTCTGAATATTAAGTTTTATATTCATAAAAAGTGTTGAGGGGCTGGAGAAATGGTTCCACATTTAAGAGTACTTTCTGTTCTTACGAAGGACCTGAGCTTAGCTCCCAGCATTCACATAAGGTGGCTCCCAACCACTTGAAATTTCACTTCCAGGGATCTAATACCATCTTCTGCCCTCTGTGGACACCCATATATACAGGGTGCGTGCACATACAACACCACATGCATACACATCAATAAAAATAAATCTTCAAAGATTTAAAAACAATGTAAATCCCACACAGTACCTTCTACTCTACCTCAGAGCTCCTATGTTGGAAAATATGTTTTAGTCTGTAAATACTTACACTGAGCATACCTTCCAGCCCATAGGTATAATTATCTTCTTTTGGCATTGGTATTTGAAGCTGTATTTTATATATGCATATAGTGATTGCTGTATATACAGTTTGGATACAGTAAATTGGTATTGTGGTGAGCTCTCATGCAAAAAGGAGAGAACAATATCATTTGGGGCAACCATTACAGAGATACAGTAGACTGGGTGGCTTCAACAATAGAAGATTTTTCCCAGTTCTGGAATCTGGGAACCAGTTAAGTCCTCCCATCCTGTGTATCCTTACATGGGGGAAATGGAAAGAAAGCAAGCTTCCTCATACCTGTTCCTGTGCGAGCACCAAGTCTATCTATGAAGGCTCTACCTCCAATTACTATTAGATTTGGGTGAACTCAGCATAGTTTTAGGAGAAGGCAACACTCAGTCCATGGAAGAATAAAGCAAAGGGCAGCTATGCCCCCTCTACTCTACGGGGCTGGTACTGACAACTGTGCCCCCACCACTCCACAGGGCTGGCACTGACACCCGAGCACCCACTCCACTGGGATGGCACTAACACCCAAGCACCTACCTCTCCACAGGGCTGGCACTGACACCCGAGCCCTCACCACTCCACAGGGCTGGCACTGACATCTGAGCACCCACCTCTCCACACTGCCGGTCTAGCCTGCTTGATTACATTTTCTCCTTACCCATATTCACTAAGTGATCCTACAAAGGGAATAAAGCTGACTCTGGAATAAAGCTCTTACTATCATCCTTTTCCAAGGCCAGTTCTACACTTGTACTTTTAAAACCCAGAGGCATTGCTGGAAGTTTTAAATTAATTTCTGACATTCATTATTTATTTGTGTGTCAGAGAATATAGGCCTGCATGTCCTACAATGATTTGGTCTTTTTCCTTGTACCACGTGGTTTCCAGTGATCAAACTTAGGTCCTCGGGTACCTTTGCCTGCTGAGCCATATGACTGGCCTTCTGGAAATTCTTAGAAATTGACCAATAAGGTAGTAGGTGCAGTCATTGGTGTCATATAAGCTCATGTCTGTTTTCCATCTTTATTGCAGGGTCAGAGACATGCTGACTGATGAGATCACCAAGACAGCTGCAAAGTAAGTCATTTATTCTACCCAAAATCCCAATAAACCTTTCACTCCTGGACAGGTACATACACTTTCTCATTTTAGGGAATTTATAACATTAAGAACTATAAAGTAATTTTTTGGTTACTTTTTTATAGAAAACCACTGTTAACTCCTGCCAACTATACTAATTCCCACCTCATGCCTTTTTGTATGCAGAGGGATGGATGCAAATGCATATATTTTAATAGAGAGATATTCAGCCTGAACATGTAACAAATGCCATGTAGTTTGGCTTAAATGTAAAGGATCATAACTTAGTTCAAGGAGGAAAAATGAATTCTGGAGAAGGGAAGTTGCATTGGGTATACAAATAGATTATTGAATCTCTGTTGCAATGCAGCAAATAAAGTGGGACCCCTCTTACACTTCCTGGTTGCTATTGGGTCCAGTGTGTCTAAAAATCCGATTCTAATTAGCAGTTCATCTGGCCTTGGATAACCCTCATCAGCTCTATGACACACTTTAAAAATGAATTTTATATATACAGCAGTAATACAAAGACTCCGTGAAAGGCGATGTCAGTTATATCCTGGCGGTGGTCTGAACAAAAATTAGTTGAGTGTTACTGCCGTGAGGCTTTTTATTTACCCTACGCCAAAGCTCACTAAGGAAATTACCCCCTAATGAACTTGCAGGAGCCATCACTTCAGGCCTCTCCGCTAACAAGCAGACTAATTGTTCCTGGCAGCAGAGACACAAGCCAGTTGCGTTCATATCTCCCTTCCACCATCACCCTCTGCTGCTGTGTGTGTTGCCTTGCTGTCTTAGTCTCCAATGACATAGTCACTCTCCTGCCCTGGGATTTCATGTGCACTGAAGCCCGTGTCATATCCTGGGACAGAATGTAGCTGTAAAGACTAGGTATGAAGGGAACACAGTAACAGCTGTATAATAGCAAAGTGGATCTCAGCCTGTGCTCAGTACTCACCCCTGTGCCCCCCACTGAATAAAGAAGAGACCTGGTGGTCTCCTGTCCACACTGCTGGGATGGGCATGGGGAAACCCGGTGCAGAAAGGATATTTTAGGGATGCATCTGCTTTTCTGCACAGGTGAGGGTGGGTGACCTTGAAGTCTTTCCTCTTGTGGTTTATGTTACTGTGCAGTGCTGTTCTTACATCCTCTTAGAAACAGGGCATTTGGAGCAGAAAGCTTGGACGATAAAGAAACAAGCAGGTTTATGTTCAGACAAACTATAATTTTGCCTCTGAAGTCACCTTTATACCTCTGTTCTTAAATCTTATTTCAACACGACCTTTCTCTATAGGTTTCTGAAACAGCACATTGCTACTAGTGCCCAAGCCAATGTATTCACATTCTCAGGGCACACAATGAAACAATCCGTATTCTTATGGGATTACTACCTTTTTATCAAAAGCTTCACAGTATAGTTTTGTAGATTTTTATCTTATAAAGCAGTTGAGATAGTGCTAATTGTGGCAGGAAGTGAACAGGACATTGTTTAAGGTCCAGAGGCTGGATGACAGAGATGGAATACAAGAAAATGGTGGCCACTTTCTCTCCACATCTCCTTCACCCAGGCAGAGCCCTCTTTCCAACCCTTTGATAGTTTAGCTGCTGTGGCTGCCTGAGGCCAGGGCTTATTTAGTTCACTGGTTAGTTAAGTGCAGAAAGTAACATCCAGTCACAGTTACTGACTTGTTTGTTTGAGAGAGTATTTTTGAGAATCAGGGTTATGACTAAGGTAGAACCAGAACATGGATAAGACGGATGACTGATGGCAATTTGTTTTCATTATTATTAATTAAATGGGTTTGAACTCAAAGACGAAAATCCCCAAATGATTGGGTCACTTTGCTGATATGTAATGCAATACTCTGTCCCTCGGAAAGCACCACTGAAGCTCATCCTTCCTTGTGCTTTTTAATTAGGTTAATGACATCAGTTTGTTCCAAAGGACAATTTAATTAAAATGTCAGTGGTGTTGCTTAGATAAAGACTGTACTGATGCTGACATGTTATTATGCAAATCAGTCACAGCTGTTCGACTGGTAGGGGATAGTTATTCGAGTAACAAGGCAGCGAGTTTGTGCCGCTCTGGTCGCAGACTTCACCAGCCGGCTCTTCCTTGGTGTTTGCTAAGTATGTAGTGTGCACTGTAATCCACGAGCCGATGTTGTGGCTATGTCGCAGGTCTCCAGGCCTGGTGCCTTCTCCAGCTGGGAACCTGACTCATGGATGCTTTGTGTAGACTGGAGCAATTATGTTTTAGCTGGAAATTAATGTCTAGATAAAATTCAGCCTACATCCAACGATCTCATTACTGTGGCCTGAAATATATTTTCCTTCATTTTCCACAGTCCATACACACTCAGGTGTGTCAAGATGAGTGAAATAGAGTGATGTGGAATCCCAGTTTAACCTGCAGCAGGCATGGCTAGAGAGACTGCACAGTGGCTGAGAGCACGCACTGCTGTTGTAGAGAACACAAGTTTGCATCTCAGCACCCATGTCAGCACCCACTACTGCACCTCGTGCCCTGGGGGATCTGATTTCCTCCTCCGGTCTCCACGGGCATGACGGCATCAATACACACATAACATACACTCCCATGGACATGCATACCTACACGCAAGTTTAAAAATCAGAATCAATCTTTAAAAAGACATAGGCTAAATTCTCCTTTTAACTTGAGTATTATAACTTTTTATGTGAGATGCATGTTTAATGAGATTTGATATGCAATTCCGGGTAGCCAGAATTAACTGTTTTCTGTGTAGTGAGAAGACTAAAGATTTAATTTTCAGATGCCTGGGAATTTTAAACAACTTCATCTTCCCTCCCTCTCCTTCTCCCCCACATCCATCCTCAGGGATTAACATTTCCCCAACCTCAGTAGTAGCCATTTGTTCAGAGCTCCAGGAGTCCTTCCAGTGTTTTCATCCCAGTTCCCCAGTATGAATGTTGATGCCTTCCTTACTGACTCAAGGCAGACCTCACAGAAGACTGAACTGAAGGGTGGTCAACAAAATGAGCAAGTTGCAGAGCAGGGCTGAGCTGAACTGCTTCTGCTCAAGGTGGGGGGGGGGGAGAGAGGCAGAAAGGATTAAGTAAATGAAAAGACTTGATTCCTATAGAATAGAGGCAAACATGCAAGAACGCGTGTCCTCAGGTCCAGCTTTGTGCGGAGTGATCTGGAGGTGGGAACCAGCCTTGCCTGAAGAACTGGTGTGAAGGCCGTCCTCACCCTCTGCTTCTGCTCTAACCCCGTACTGCCTAGAACGAATGCATGCAGTGAGCTCAGGCTCCATTCCAGGGCTCTGGGGACTTTCTCTGTGGACATTATGAAGATACAGTTATATACCCCGGAGTAGCATCTTGAGATGGGGACGTTCTGCTGCAGACAGCAGCTCATCGCTGTCTCATTCAGAGTTTTCTTCCATAGGAAGTGTAGCCTGGGAAGTGTAATCAATGTACATCTTTGCATGCTAAGTATATATGAAAGTTTGGTTATTTTTATGATGCCAAGTTATGAAGTAAAAGATAAGAGTGTTTAGTGTTAATATTAGAAAACTATCATTTGAATTATTTAACAGAACAACTCTCAATCCAAGTAGTCTCAAAACATTCCCTCCCCCATCTTATCTGGAATCGCCAAGTCATATTATGAAGTGACTCTAAGGTTTCTGGTTTTGATTTAGTGGGATAAGGGAGAAGGAGACTCATGACGACCAAACGCTGCCACATCTTTTGTGGGAATAAAGGACACTTGTGACCTGATTCAGAGGGAGCTGCTTCCACACACTGCTGCTTCACAAGGGGCCATTACACTTCGCTAGGTGTTTAATTCTGTTTGGGGGATAGATCAATAAATTCAGATTGCCCAAAATGACATATAATAATATAGCTTGGGAAATTCTGTGTCAGAGAATGAAGTAAGATTCACAGGAAGAAAACGTAGACGTAAAGAGCTAGCATTTCTAAGTTGCACAAGGTCGTAATGATCATGGTGAGGAGCGTGTCAGCACAGACGTTATTGGTATCCGGAGGATAAACAGACCAATGCCTTCCAAAGTTTACTTTGTTTTCAAGACAGGGATAACTAGGTATCCCTGCCTGTCCTGGAGCTTAGACGATGATGACCTTGAACTCACAGAGATCAGCGTGAAAGGTGTGCACCACCACACCTGGCTGATTATTTTTATTTTCTATGCATCAGTGTTTTGCCTGCATATGTATGTGTATCCTATGTATGCCTGGGGCCCATGGAGTCTGGAAGCATGTCAGATTTCTGGAACTGGATTATTGATGGTTGTGAACCGCCATGCTGGGAACTAAAGTCAGGTCCTCTGCAAGAACAAGTAGTCTAAGCACCGAGCGTCTCTGCAGTCCCGTAGCTGCATCCTCTTTCTTGTTTCAGCCAGCTCTGCGCTGCAGTGGCTGTGCTCTCCCACCTTGTCTGCTTTCCCATGATAGTGTCTTCTCTCCTGGGATCTTTTCTAACACAGGGAGAGTCCGGTGGTCAAAGGAAATGCCCTGTTGGCCCTAAGCAGCCTTGCTGTTGTGGTGTCCAAGCACGAAGCCAGCCTTTCCTCAGATTCTGATGGAGTCCTGGAGGTGAGTCGAGGGGATTTAGGGCATGTGGGCTTTGGTTACATCTCTTTGGTTCTGACTTAGGTAGCCTGGGACTAGGTTTGCAAACTTAAGTTCTGTGACTGCATCTTCAAATCCTGTTACTTGTTAGCTCTGCTGTCTTCCTGATTCACTCGTGTTTCTGTTCTGCTTTCCCCAGTGTGGTTAAGTGGTCGTTTCCATCTGAAGGTGCCAATTTTACGAAACAAGGGCCGTCTTTCTGTGATTACATCACTGGTAACCAATCTTAGGAGGTTAACCAGGCTTACCGAAAGTGAGCAGTGCTGTCAGAAAATGATAAATAAGCTGTGTTTACACACTGAAAATGTTGTACTTTGCATTTCAATTGTAGATGTCAATGATAAAGTGCCTATTCATTGTTGCAAGGCATTTATTTCTTAATTAAACGTGTGGCAGGCTGGCCAATATTCATTTCCAATGTACTTTTTTCAGATAATTCATATCTGTCAAAATAAAAAGCTGTGGATTTGTTCTTGTTTAAAGTTCTATTATCTGTTAGCTATCATTATCCAGATATGATGTGGCCTGAGTAGTTAAAAACAAAACAAAACAAAACAGAACCCAGTCTGTGGAATAACAGAGGCCTGTATTTCAATTTCATGACTTTGACTTACTAGCTGTAGACCTTTGCATAGTGAGCTACACTTTTAGAGCCTGTTTCCCAATCTCTAAGATGGATTGACAGTACTTCCCAGATAATGGTACTGCAAAAATTAAATGAATTCGCCAACACACACACACACAATCTCACGACAGCAGGTAAATGCTAAGCCCTTGATAACTGAAGCCATCACTAACATCACTGTCTCTGTCCTAGAGGAGTGTTTTATGAGCCATTTGTACTCTGTTTTGTCTTCATTTGGTTTGTTTGGGTTTTTAAGATACCATCTCACTATATAGCCCAGGTTGGCCTCAACCTCACTCTCCTGCCGCATTCCCACAAGTACTGGGATCCGGCTGTCACCTGCTCTGTGTTCTCCTTTCATGGTGCTTTTCTGGGTGCAAGGAAACAAACTCTCATCTGTTGAAAACAGAACTGAAAATACATTGGATTTGGAAACCCTTGGAATTGAAGACAAAACTTAAAGGCTGGGTTTGGGCAGGACAAAGGAAGCCTCTGATACAAGAGCTATTGGAATAGCTCAGCAGACCATCTGTACTTGTGTCATTTGTTGTCCTTGCAGCCGCCATTTACAATTCAGATTCACAGGGTCCTGTGCACATGCCATTGGTAGGCTAAGAACACAGCTTCATCTGATCATTTAATTTATCTCTAAAGAACTGAGAGAGAGAAGGAGGTGAGCTTAGAAACAGCCCAGTGAACCAAGCAACCCTTCCTTGGGGGGCTTTCTGTAGGGCAGTACCTAGTACCATCTCTCCTGTGGGTAACTATGGTGAGACATGTCCTGATAATAGCAAAGATAAGTGTGGTCTACTCTACTGGACCAAGGTCAGGGAGGGGGTCTCTGTCCTCTGAGTCAGGGGCAAACCCCCTTTGATTGGCTAAGTGCAGATCTTGACTCTATCCCTGCCCTGGAGAGCAGCTCCTCTCTCTACCTAAGCACAAGACCCCTTCAGTGAACTTGAGATTCTTGAGTCAACTGTTTGCTTAGGCCTGCTCTAGTTCATCGCTTTCTCACTCTTAGTAAACTGTGTACTTTCACTAGTACTCGATGTCCTGCCTAATTTGTTGTTGGAGATACAAATAACCCAGTATCACATCCAGTGACATTGTCATCGGTGAGCAGGAAAACCAGGACCGTGAGGCAAGGGCTACAGATATGTATGCCATGGAGAGAAGGGGGTGCGGCCCAGGGATATTATACGAATGATAAAAGCATAATCAGTTAACATTCAAATATTTAACTTTGTTTTGTTTTAATAATGAAAAAGTTAAGGAAATGTTTCATTTCATTGAAAGAGCCATGGAATGCCTTAGCAAAGGCTTACATACTAACTACATTCATAACCCTAAAAGATCATACATATTCTAAGATTCCTTTTCTTGGGGGGGGTATTTATAGTGAACTACCAGTTGTGAAGTTAATTTGCCCCATAATAACGGAGGGGGGGATAATAACTCAGAACTGAAGTTCTTGATTCTCATATTCTTTACCCCACTTTGAGTCTTTTCATACTGAGAAGCCGTGAAGGGTTAAGAGTGGGGCTTTGCTTTTATTTTTATTGACCTTGCCTTTGGCCATTTCTCCATACAAAATCCAAATCTCATTATCTGATTGAAGTTGAACATGTGTGACTAGTAACAAAAGATCTTAAGATGAATGTTTCTGACCCCATTGTCACAGGTTGACTTTAAGTTTTCTCTTTAGTAAAAGGAGATTTTTTTAAAAAAAAATAATTTGTGAGTTAGGTAAATGTATTTGTAATAGACATGATATGCAATAGACAGCCATATGTAATAGTAAACAAAAATGCTAGAGATGTTAGTCAGATTGTTGCAGGCTAATTGGCTACTTTGTGAAAAGGTAAGTCATATATTTGGGACGTTTCAATTTTTTTTTGAACTTTTCTCTTGTGTATGTTGTTTATCACAATTCATGGGACAGAGGAAATCTGAGTATATTCTGTTGTAGCCTCTGTCTTCCCACTTCTGATAAATCTTGAATAAATGTATTCTTGTTGGGGAACAGGTAAGGATATATATTTGTCAACTCTCTTCATATAGTCCAAGCAGATAAACTTTACTTTTTGATGATAGCATTTCTTTATGTAACAAAGGGATGGCTGTACTCTGGACGTCAAAATAAAATTTAGTGGTTCTTGTTTTCCTACCATCTTTCTATGTTGTTCCTCATCTACAGGTTCAACCTAATTTCCTTCCAGTGAAGGAGTGGGTTTCCATGGTGCTTAATACTCTCCTCGTCATCGTGGACAGCCATTACCGCCCCAGAGGACAGCTCTTTTCCTGCTTTTATCATGTAAGTACAGGAAATAGAAATGACCAGACTCACCAAGGGTTAATTCTCCTGACAACCATTGTTCACACGAAAACCATAGCATGGTGTAGTAATTTCCAGCTCTAGCTGTAGGCTAGAGGTGTGTGTGTGTGTGTGTGTGTGTGTGTGTGTGTGTGTGTGTGTGAAGAAAGACTGGTGTGTAGGTAGGCCCCACAGTTTGGTTGATTTAGGATGTGCCCCAGGTACCAGTAGCATGAAAGCTCTTGAGGTTTTTCTGCTGTGTAGTAAGGGTCAAAGGTTATAGTTGTGGGATACATGGTTCTCTGAATTTGTTTGGTCTTTTTGACATTATTTATAAAATGATAAGAATAGCGGTGTCCTCTGTGATGACTAAAGACTGTATATGCCACCTCTCAGTTTTGAGTATCGACTTGACACTTTATGGTACCATTCTTGTTTTCCTGGTGAAATAAAAGTTCAATTCCTTTGCTGTGTTTTTCTGCCTCACCAAAGATTGAGAAGGTGAAATTATTTAAGTTAAGCGTAAGTGTTGTATTTTGAAAACAATAAAATTCTTTTTAAATACCAAGTAACCCTGTTTGGTCATGTGAAAAATGACTGCCCCTCCTCTCCTGTCTTCACGATGGCGGCTAATGACTGAAGCAACGGGAAATGCACATCTTGTTGTCTGACTCTCCCTTTGGGCTTGTGGAATCAATTTACTTCTGCTGTGGTGTAGAATTGTTTTGGTTTTGCTCTATCAGTAACTATTGCTTAGGGAATTGCAGAGATCACGGGACAGTCAGCTGAGTGGCTGAGGATTGTAGTTGTTGAAGAAAAATGTAGCACGGATCCAGACCTGTTGCTAAGATTATGGATTTAGCCCACAATGCATTGCTAAAGTCTTCTCTGTAAATGCCCTGCTCCCTCTTCCCTTGCCCTTGGGAAGACCAGGGATGTATTGATCTGGGGCTTAGGGTCCAATGCTAGATTTAAAAATAACTTGGTAGGTAATATAGAATTAAGTCGTAAGTTGGGTTTTGTTCAGAGAGGTCATCTATTAGTGCTGGTTTGCTTGACTTGTTTTGAAGCTTATGCAGTAGCTGGGTCAGACATTTACCAGAACAAGATACTCTGTGAGATTTCCTGTCATTCTGCTTGGTTCTTGTGAACCAGTAAGACAGCCTCTTTATTTAGCCAGTTCAAAATTACCTCTTACCTTTTCTTATTCTTTTTACATCACTATTCATTTTAAGACCCATTTCAAAAGTCACTTCCCTTATTTCCTGTGTCCTTTTGAGTAACTCTGTCATTTGGAAACATTATATTAACTTGGAGTGTAATGTCCTACATACTTGATTTTTGTCCTTAAAGTACCAGAGCTCGGCGAGCAAATAGACAGAATTCAAGCACATTGTAGCGTGCTTCAACTGCGAGGCACAATGCCGCCTTTATGACACATCTGAAAACGTAGCTGGACAATAGTGAGGGTGCTGAAGAGGCTTTCCTCTCTACTGGAGACACATTTGCAGACGTATAGCATGTGTGGTGGCGTGCTCTAACGTGGGACTCTTGCAGATACTGTTCATGTTCAGCTGCCCTGTCATTCTCTTAGGGCTGTTATTCATTTCTCTCCCCATAATTGCATATCAGAAGGCACATGTAGAGCCCTCCATTTCCTTTTGAATAGCTGGTTATTGCTTTTAACCAGAAGCTTTTAGAATTTCAACTTCCCTCTTAATTAAAAGGAATTAACCCCCTGTAGGAAATAATCCATCTATTGGGTTGTGTTCCCACCAAAAATTTTGGGAGATGTGCCAATAGGTCTTGTGTTAAACTTCCACCTGTTTCTCTGTAGAGAGAACTTGAACTCCTGTCCACCTCCCTTTCTTTCCTTTCAGGGCAAGTCCTAGCTTTCTGGACAATTGTAATGTAGCTTGTCTAAGAGCTGACAGCCTGACTTGGCTTTCCTATTATATGCATGCAGGCTTTTAAAAACATCAAAACTGTTTGAGTTTATATAGTGAGAGAGCCCACAACCTCTAAACATAGACACTTCAAACTCTGTCTTTGAAATTTAAAAGAACATTGCTGATTTCACTCGGCAGTGGATGGACTCATTGACTGAAATCAGGGTATGTAGCAAACACATTTAAATTCTGTTTTTTTGTCTGCAGGGCAAGTATAGAAGAAGCCTGTGTTGCTGTAGTGTTTGTGTGATAGGTGTTTTAAACAGATTCGTGTTTTAAACAAGAGGCTAACCCCTGTTTTCTTTCTTTGGCATGTCCTAGAAGTCCTATTCTGGTGAGAACACGGCCAGCGCTATTGCGCGCTCTGCCGCCGCCACGGCTTTGTCTCTCCTTGTGCCGGTTTTCATTATCTCTTGCAAAGAGAAGGTTGAGGAAATCCTGAACATGCTGACTGCCAGGTTACCTGGGAAACCAAGTGCTGATGAATCTCAAGCCGTGCAAATCCACATGGGCCTTGCTTTGGGGATGTTCCTCTCGCGCTTGTGTGAAGAGAAACTAAGGTACAGTTGATTGAAGTATTGCTGTGTTTCCTCCTTGTGATTTAGTGACGGACTGTAGCATGCATGCGGGTTCCTAAACATTCCATCTGAGCAGTATGTGCTTGCTGAATTTCTGAGATGGTTGAGTTGATTGTTTATTCCCTTAGATGGGTGAATTCCGCTGCCTTAAAATACCATCATATGGATATTAATATACTTTGGGGGTTATTATTCAAGTAACTGTTTACTTGAAAAGCATGTCAGGCTAAGATAGAAGCCCTAAGTACGCCTTTTTAATTAATAGGCATAAACAAAAGCCTTAAAGTGCTGTAAGTGAAGAAAGACTTCTCCCCTGCCCTTTCATTGTTGACATCTCCATAAGTGGGAAGGAACAACGGGGGAGTCCCATGTAGCAGAGGGGTGCCAGGAGTCACTGAATCACCTGAGAACTGCATGTACCCAATTTTACAATGCTGTTTTTCTCCTCTGCCCTGGCTACACTTAATAATCTTTAAAGGCTCCTGATCTGTGCATATTGTATTGGGTGGTTTCTCGTTTTTAGGCTGCTAGCATTATCAGTGAATGGATGGAATGGATCAAATGGAATATGAAAGACTCGGGTGGAAAATTCCACTGAGCGTCGAGTTTTCCTACACATCAGTTAATCTATTTTAGTTTTGTTCATACTTGGTTTTCCCCCTGTATTTTATATTAAACCATACAATTTTATGCATCCAGGTTGATTGTAGTGTAGTCTAACATGAGTGTTAGTTGCCATGAATATTTAATGGCAGTGACTTCGACTTCAGCCCCATCTTCCTTCACTGGAAATAGGATACAGGTAGAAACATGTAGCTATGATGTTAGCTGTTCTCATACTTCCTGGTGGGTAGCAGTTAGTGGTCCAAAAGCAAACAATGGTGTTGGTGTGGATAAACTAGATGGCATCACACAGTATCTATAGTGTTTGGAACTAGAGGTTAAGTTTCTGTTTGTAACTTTCAGACTTTGAACAAATGCTGTGTTTCTGTTTTGTTTTGTTTTTGTTTTTGTTTTTTTTTTTGTGTGTGTGTGTAGGGGGAGAATTTACTATTGCTTTGTCTGCAGAGGCCGTTCCTTTGTTCCTGGCCATCCAGACCCAAATAATCACGGAAAAACTATATTAATCTATATTAATTACAACACTGCTTGGCCTATTAGCTCAGGCTAACTCTTAACTAACTCCTACATCTTAAATTGACCCATTTCTATTAAAAATCTACCACTACTAATGTATTGCTACTAGACTGTGGCTTACGGGTACCGACATATTACTCCTTTGGCAGCTACATGCCGTCTCCCTGACTCCGTCTACTCTCTCTCTATATATATATATTTCTTCCAGCCAGGCTATATTCTGCCCTGCTATAGGCTGAAGCAGCTTGTTTATCAGTGGTAATAAAACACATTCATACAGAGGGGAATCCCACATCATTGCTTTTGGGAATGGATATTTCAAGCGAACATCTTTAGCTTCTGGAAACATCTGACAGATGAGTGGAGTGACTGGCATAATATCTTTAAATGACAATGAAACATGCCCAGAATATTCACAGAGGTGCAGCTCTAGATACGGATAAGGAACCTGCCCTTTGCATGGCAATCAACTCTTTCATTCCTTGTGTGTCCAATAGAACATAGCGTGTTTTGCAAAGGCCTAAGACTTAAGTGATCTCCGCCTTTGCTGCTGTCTACAAATAGTTCTCTCCTCGCTGTCTGTGTTCAGGTCTTTCTCAGGATGTTTTCACATTGATAACTGAACCCTGGCAGCTCAGTTGTGGGTAACTCACTTCGTCCCATTCTGGCCGAGCCTCATTTCTTCATTAACTTGGGATACGGTTCTGCACTGACTTTAGGACTGTCAGGCTTGCATTGGGGGTGTGTTTCATTATACTGCCTGGAAAGCCCCAAGGTGATGCACACACGTCCTCTTATCCCTCATTCCCGGGCTGCCTTCTACCCCATCTCTCTCAGTTGAATTTGTAGCTGCAGAGAATCCTGGGAAAGGATTCCAGGCAGCTCATCGTGGCTGAGTCACTCGGAATACTAGTAGATTGTTTATTTGATTGTTTTGGTTTTTTTTTTTTTTTGTTTGTTTGTTTTAAGATACAGTCTCTCTATGCAGCCTTGCCCATCCTGGAACTCAATATGTAGACCAGGCTGGCCTCGCAATCAGAGGTCTTCCTGCCTCTACCTCCTTGAGGATGGGATTAAAGGTGTGCTGCCATGCCTGGCCCTGAGTACCTGTAGATTCTAACTTTGCTCAACAGCATCCTTTTCTTGGGACCTGTGTCTTGATAGTGTAGTCACCAACATGGAATTATCCCTGGTTCCACTGGCTCGTTTCTTTTAGAGCAGAGAATTCAGAAATAGTTAACTTTTTCTACCGGTGGGTGTTTTACTCAGTAATCACATTCACTGTTACCTTTCCAGACCATTTTTTGGTTTTTTCCTAAACCAAGGCTATGGGCGGGAAAGATGGCCCTGTGGTTACGAGTGCTTACTTCTTTTCCAAAGGACCTGAGTTTGGTACCCAGTACCTTGTTGGGTGGTGGCTCACAACTAACTACCTAGAAGCCCAGCTCCAGGGCCTTAGGTTTGTAAGAGAGCCTGTACTCATGTGCGCATGGTGCTCTACACAGGCGCCATACACAGACACAAGTGAAAAACCAAAAGAATCTCAGGAATATAATTTAGGACGGGGACTGGAGAGATAGCTCCGCGGTGAAGAGCACTGTTGCAAGCTCCCACAGGGCCACTCACAAACATCTCTAAGTCCAGTCCCAGGGCTTCTGATGCCTTGTTCCGGCTTCCTTGGGCATCAGGCATGCTCATGATAAACAGACAAACATGCAGGCAAAATATTCATAAACAACATAAAATAAAAATAATTTAAAATAAAGCCAGATATCAGGAAAGCTGTGTTCTTGAAATGGGTAGTAATATCAAGTACCCATAAGAAAACATGCCCTCACTTCATTGTTCTCAGGGTAGATTCTCCCTCCTGCAAGAGAGACACTCACCACAGTCAGTCTGGCTTATGATTCTCCTAAATATGAATTCCAAACTAGGATTTATTCAGGAAGGTACATTACACCAACCTTGTTGCCGCTGCCGTAACCTCTAAAGCAGGGGTTCTCAACTTTCCTAACACTGCAACCCTTTAATACAGTTCCTCATGCTGCTGTGACCCCAGCCATAACATCATTTTGTGCTGCTTCATAGCTGTAACTTTGCTACTGTTATGAATTGTAATGTAAATATCTGATGCAGGATATCTGATGTGTGGCCCCACGGGGCTCATGACCCACAGGCAGAGTAATAAAACGTGAGTGGGGAAGCCCGCAGCTTTGCCAGAGGAAAGAGCAGAGTGCCTGCTTAAGTTTTCTCTTACTATCCAGCCTTAGTTCTCACTGAGACAATTATATAAACGAGTTGTTATACAGAAGCAGAAATATGTAGGTCTAGGGAATTTCCCCCTTAAAATATATAATTAAAGGGTTTAAGGAGAACTGACAACCCATTCAACTGAGACATGAAATCACAAGCTGTGTCCCTTGTAAGAGAGATCTGGGGTGATTGATAACTGTATCCATAGTTTCATTACATTTTCTACCAAAGTATCACTCTACATTCTTAGAAATTTGAGATTTTGTTCTTCAATGTTTTAAAATTTAAATACAAAGTGTAAAATCAAAAGAACTTTTTAGGCCTTATTGTTTGTCATTTGTTTCTCCCATATTTTAGAAGTCACCTGCTCGCAATTCCTGCCTTCTCAGTATATACTGTTTCCTTCTTGGGTCTCTGAGGAAGTTGAAGACTAGATAGTTATAGTTTGTCTTGTTAACTGGACTCAAAAAAGAAATTCAGTAAGAAATGTAAAGTATAAGGTTGAGAGACATAAAAAGATAATTTTGAACTGGTAATGCAAGTTAGACTAGAAAGTAAATTAGGTATAACACTTTGGACTCACCAAGATAGGACAGATAATGGAGTATTCCCTCTGCATTTGTCAAGTGCAAATGGACTAGACATTGTTGCTTAGTGCCTGTATAAATTGTATATAGTTATTATACTTATTGTATACAGGTTTTCTTATACTAGCTATAGCCTTCTTTTTTTAAAATTTTAGACAAAAAGGGGAAACGTAGTTATATTTTGTTTAACAAATAAAATTTGCCTGAAGATCAAAGTGCAGAGCTAAGCCACTAGAGGCCAGGGAGTGGTGGCACACACCTTTAATCCCAGGATTCAGGAGACAGAGGTAGACGACCTCTGTGAGTGGCTACACAAGAGTCCAGAACTTGGGATCACAGGCCTTTAACCCCAGCACTAGGGAGGTGGAGACAGGAGTGATATGACTGGGTAGAGAGAGGAATACAAGGCCGAAGGAGACAGGAGCTCAGACAGTCTGAGGTTTGGTGGGGACAGATGGAGTCTGGAGATGCAGTGTGAGGACAGGCTTCTTCCTTCGGTTTGAGCATTGGAGGAGGTAAAAGAACTCTCTAGTGGCCGGCTGCTCTGCTTCTCTGATCTTCAGCATTAGCCCCTGTATCTGATTCTGGGTTCTACTAGAATTTGTACTACACTCTTCAAAAACCTAATTACTGAATTTTTTTTCTTAATTTCCCTGTCTACAAATAAGCATATATGAGCGACCAATATTGTTATTACCTTTTTATATATAAAGAAGTGCTGTTGTTTCCAGTAGATATTGACAGAAAAAGACTTTCTTTGTAACACTTTGGCTTTTTTTATTAACATTTATTTATTTGTGTATTGGGGGGGGGTGTATGCTGTTACACATCAGAGGACACCCTGTGGGCATCATGGGACTCCTTCCACAACGTTGGCTCTGGGGATTAAAGTCAGACCAGCAGGCTCTGTGCCGTGTTAGACCAGCATCGTACCTGCTGAGCCTTTGTTTGCTGCATGGTACTGGGGATCACTTCCGGAGTCTGTGCACACCGGGCGACACTCTGCCACTGAGCCTCACACTCCCAGACATGTCATGCTCTGTGAACAGTTGAGTGGTTATTAATAATCCATCATTCCTGTCTCCTTATCTAGTGACATGTCTGGCCAGCAGATGAACCTTCTTCTGATAAAGTCCTTGGATGCCCTGGAAAACTGCTGTTTTGACCCCAGCCTTGAACACAAGTACGTTGGTTCCCTTCATAACCGGTGCTCAGAGAGTGCTTGCTACTTGCAGCAAGCCTTGAGTGCAGTGGTGAAGTGTTTGCAGGATCTGATCTTGAGTTCCTTTGCAGAGTGTTCAGTAACAGTTAGAAAGAATCTTTCATTGAGAACTTCTTTGTTTTAAAACCCTATCATTGGTGAGTGTTTTGCTTAAATGCAGAGCAGCGAGTGCTGTTGTGTAACTTTAATCCTGTTACCGAACATCAGTGTTGTTTTGTATTGTACGTGAGGCATGGATCTGGTGGCCAGGTAACCTCACTTAACCTTTTTTCAAGATTAGCTGAAATTATTTGAATATGAGTGGGAAAAGCGAGCTTCTGATGGTTTGAATTTAATTGTAAAGCCACGGGCGGAGGAACCAAATGGAAAGGACCATTGATTATATCAGGGTTTACAATCTGTTTTAACAGAAATGGGTCTTCCTCCTACGCCCATTTGAACCTTAAGCCTCCTTCAGTGTTTTTTCTTGAAAACAAAATACCTTAAATTTCATGGTTTTATTCTAATATTGAAAGATAACAAAAAATGAAAGTAATCATAAAAGAATAAAAATATAAAAACTGCCAGGTGGTTTTATTCCTTTAATCCCAGCACTTGGGAGGCAGAGACAGGAGTTGAAGGGCAGCCTGGTCTACAAAGCGAGTTCCAGGATGGTGAGGACTGTTACACAGAGAATCCCTGTCTTGACAAACAAACAGAGTAAGAACTGTCTAACTTACTGTTACAGATCTACTCTCTAATCGGTTTCCATGGCTTGTATGGGTGAATAAGATGGATTGATTAGGCTATGTGGAATATTATTAACAATAACGTTTACTCTTTTGATTTCTGTGTTTTGGAATCTCAGGTTTGAATCCTGTGGGGCATTATTTCTAGAGATCACAATAGATTAGAAGTAACAGTTCACCTCTTTCTGTTGTGCTTCTGTACCGTCCAGCTTGTTAGTATCAGAATAACAAAGAGTAGCTAAAGTAGTGATGCAGCCATATAAAGGAAAGGTTATGGAGGATTTTTATCACAAAAAGTTAATCTCTGTAGTAGGGGCAGTGGTGAGATTTTGTCTGTATGTCGGGTGAGAGTGAATAGAAACCTGACAGTTCGTCAAGTCCTCAGGATCTTGTGACATCTTCAGTGTGTGGTGTGAATACGGGAATGGAGTCTGATGGCACCTTTGGGGTCTTCTGAATATAGAAAATTAGTAGCGAGGGGAATAAGAACGTGGTTATTATTTGGATCAAATGACAGGTTGAGATTTCAAGTCTAATATATGCATCACTATTATTGTCTTCATAGCCTCCAGGTAAGAAACCCACCCCTGCCCTTTCCTTTCTCCCTTACCTGTCCTTCCAAAGCACTCACCGTAGCCATGGATCAGGATATTAGATGTTGTGGAAAAGCTTGCAGTTCAAACACTGCAAGGTCTTAGACAACTGGACCAATGGAGAACAGCTCACATACGGTTCCCATTCATTTCCAGGGAAGTTTTAATGTGGAATAGGTGTTTATGTACTTAAAGGTGTCGCATCGAAGTATGTTTAACCTTAACTTTCAGTTTTGTGATTGGTAAGATTCTCATTTCCTCATTCTTATCTTCGCTCTTGATTCTTATCTTCATATTGAAGAGGAGTGTTTGAGAGTGTGCTTGGACAGGGGATCCGTCTGTCAGAGGAATGAAGAACAGGAACACCTCCTCATCAAAGCCCAGTTAAAGGTCCAGACTTCCAAACAGCCTTCCCCTTCCTATTCAAACCTCAGTATTCCTACCGTTAGTGGAGCTCAGTATTTCCTCATTTGGGGGCCTGGGTGAAGTTCTTTCTTCGTTTCAGGTTTTTCTGGAACTTGTTAATCCTCTGCATTTTCATATCTGTATCCTGGGTACTTAAATCCTAAACCCTAATTGCAACAGAGAGAGAACTATAGACAGGCCTTTTCTTCAGTTTTCTCTATAAAGAAAGACTCTGAGCTGACACCTTTTCATAGTCACATGCTTTATAGGTGGCTCAATTAAGGAATGGGTCTAGGACCATTTTTCTTTGTCTTGTGTAGTACAATGTGGAGAACACAGTTCCATGGGAAGAAAACATCATTATTATTATTATTATTATTATTATTATTATTATTATTATTATTCATAAGCACAATTGGCATGCAGATGTTACCCACTATTACTTGGCCCAGGCTTTATTGCCTGGCATATAGCATATTCCTTTGTCTAAAGAAATTGCCAGAGTTTAGGGTAACCGCCCCCCCCCCCACCAGGGAGATAGTGAATAGGGCAACCCCCACCCCCATGGAGATAGTGAAAGCATTGCTGAGACATGGTTAGTAGATGACCCAGGAGTGTGCTACCTCGAGTGATAGGATTCTACCAGAACACATTCACCAATGAGTCAATGGATGAGTCCCTGCTGAGTGAACACCTGGGCTGGATGTCTGGTCCTATCGCTAGCTTTTGCTGCCACCTAGTGGCACTATTTTTGCCATTGCAGTTCTGACAGCCCTAATTGTGGTCATGTTATTCATCAATGACCTGAGCTTTGGTTAATTACTATTGAGCTGTTACAAATACAATAACATTTAAATTGTGCTTTGTAAAGGGCAAAGTGCTATACAAATGTTAACTGTTATTAGAACTAATTATTGTGTGGCTTGTACCTGGCCTGCAGGATTGCTAACAATAAGCTAGGCAATTCAAGATTCATCTGTGGTTGTTTTAGACAAGTACTATTGTTATATCTCAGGTGATATGACACATGAACATCAGAATGGGGCATTCTTTTATGATTTATCTTGGCGATATTTCCCGTTTTTCCCCCTGAGACAGGGCTTCTCTGTGTAGCTCTAGCTGCCCCAGAACTTACTCTGTAGACTAGGCTGCCCTTGCACTCACAATGATCCACCTGCCTCTACCTCTCTGAGTGCTGGAATTAAAAGCGTGCACCACTACCACCAAGCGATGGCGATCTCTTAATATACTGTGATATGATATCCAATAAGTGTGTGTGTGTGTGTGTGTGTGTGTGTGTGCGCGCGCACACACACGTGCAGGCATATATGTATGCACCCAATCCAAGCATGCCCAGGAGGCCCTGGGAGTGTTCATTATCACTCTTCATTGTGTTTTGGGCTAGGGCCTCTCACTGCACTTGAAGCCTACTATTTTTGCTGGAATGGCTTGCCAACAATTTCCTAGGGTCTGTTTGTCTCTTCCTGCTGATGTTACAAGCTCACGTGACCGTGTCCAGCTTTGAGTCAGTCTTACACACTGGGCCATTTCTCCAGCCTTATGTAGAGCCTTGGAGTTAAAGGTTTTTTTCTACATTTTTAGGATTCCTATAGCATATTTATGCTAGTAATTCCAAAATCACAGCAGAATATCTAATGATATCATTTGCTTTGATTTTAGCTGTTCGAGGCAGCAACGCTGAACTCCTTTTTGTTTTCAGTGGGCAGAATACATGCAGGCTACCTCTGCCCGAGGCATTTGTGGTTTAGAGCTGGCAGACATATCCAGAAGATTCTAGACTAAGCTAAGTAGGTGGACATGGTGAGCTAATCATTTGAGTAATTTTTAAGACTTAGGATTTTTTAAGATGTGGAAGATTTTAAATGAAATGAATAAAGCCTTAGGAATATTTTCTGGGTGCATACTATAAATTGGGGGAAGAAACAAGGAAATCTTTTAAAAGGTCAGTGGGTTATTTTGGTCCAATCTTGAACTAAAACTCAAGATATGAGCTACAGATATCTAACTTATTAAGAATATCCAGCATATGTATATTGACATGCACACACAGAGTTAGATTGTATATTCATTTGATGTGACAGACAGTTAATGTTGCCTGCCTGAATAGAGTTGTAACCGTGCCTTAGAACGCTGGCCTAAGAAGTCACATGTCCCTTTTAAACCTTTATGCCTGTGTCCTTTGAGGTGTTGTAGGAAAGCTTCAGCTCAGGGCACCTTGAAAAGCGGACTCCACAAAATGGCTTGTTTATTGAGAACAATAAGCCCGGTTTTATTTGAGCTTTGAGAGAAATAATCTGTCCATGCAAATACAATATCCGTCTTTCTTCGCTTAGTTTGGCAAGAAACAGAAATTGTGTTTTCCTGATTGGAAATTTTATGTAATATGTTCAGTTTTACATTCAATTAAACAAAAGCATCAGGAATTGTGCATGTGTGCATATATGCCCGCCCTTTTTCTGTAGGTATTCTGTATACCCAATACTCATAAAACTCCCGTGGCCAATTCCTTAGCATCATCACGTTCTGTATCAGTTCTTCCATGCACCCAGCTGAAGACCACAGACTGGGGATACTATATTGGGGGGGGGGTGAAGATAGCCACTGTCAAAGAACTCTGGAATTCGAGATGAAACAGTCCCTCAAATAATCCCTTTTCATAATTTATAACCATAATTGTAGAGTATAATTTAATACAGGGGCTATGGGAAAGTTTTAAGGAGATTTCCTGCTGGGATTCCAAGGAAGAACCATTTGAAATCTGAAGGATAAGTAGCAATTACATAGTTAAAAGGAGAGCAAGGTCAAGTTTGTCAAAATATGAATCAAATTGTGTCTAATTATAGCTCCGTTTGATTCTGTCTCGGTTTCACGTGTGTCAATATGGAAGCAGAGCTAAAATCTTCCCTGTAGGTTCCTAATTAAAACAAAAGCTTTAAATCCATGCTAATCAAGAGTAGCCTTCCTTAAGAAATGTGACTGGCCTCAGATGCAGTCCTGGGGCGCTAGGGCGCTAGGTGTCAGTTTTAGCTGGTGGGAAATGCATTCATTAGCTGTTGAGCTCCTGTGAGCTGGAGCAGCCATCCTGCCTGTCTGGATGTGGGCTGAGTTAGTTTCTCCACACAGGACTACCTTGTGTTGCTTAATATGCAACAGAAACTAGAAAAACAGTAAAAGTTATCTTCTTGTGGGTATCATCGTAACATCACGCAGGGCCCAAGAGGGGCCTTAGACATGGCAGATGGAATTGAAGGCTGGGGCTTCTCTCTTCTGGAAGCTTCCTGTGTAATCTTGAGCACATCTCTAAGGCCATCTCACCCTCCAGGTGTCTGCTCTCAGGTGTAGACACTGTTGGCACAGAGTTGTTGGGGGTATGAGGCTAGAGTGTTCATAGCAAGGTTCTTGATGCCAGCCAAAGGCATAGGTGTCATTAATGAGAAAAAATGCTTTCCATATGGATGTTGGAGAAAAGCCCAGGAAGCCTGCTTTAGCTCTGTATATCATGACAAGGGGGATGTCAAACAAGCACCAGCATGTTTTCTGAAATGCTGGTATTACCTCCAGTTGAAAAGCAACAGGAATGAAAAAACTTTAGAAAGGAAAATATGGCCACAGGTGCACTGTATTATACTGACTTGAAGTTTCTTGATAATAATTCTTTTCTTTAAATGGTATGTGTCCTTTCAGGGCACTGGGATACAAAGCCCCAGATTCCAATTGAATTGTCACAAGGGTAACTTTTGACAAGCCTGTCATTTGCCCATTTTCTCTTCTGACCCAGTGGTACTCTCGGAGATCAGAGGGGAAAGGAGGATTAATGTCATTGTGCACAGATGAATACACAGTTTCTTTAAGAAAGAGATTCCACTTGTTGGAGTTGACTGGGCAACACAAGCCCTCAGCACCACTCCCTTGCACCGCTCCCATCCATAACCAGAGCTCCTGAGCACCCACCTTGGAATTTAGCCTGTCTCTCCTTGTGCAGATAAACCATAGTGTAGCAGCACAGGCCAGAGGGAAGGGCTGTGGCATTCCTGTGAGGACAGAAACAGCCGTTTATCACCAGTTTCAGTCAGGCTCCGTGTTTGTGTCCTGTGGGATATCTGATGTGCGGTTGTTGGTGCTAGGATGTGTGTATGGGAAAGAGCTGTGTGTGTGTGATTGTGTATGTGTGCACGGACGTGCGCGTGTCTCTTTTTTAGGCCTGGGCTAGGGTTTGAAGCTAGAGCTGCAGGCATGTAAGTCAGGTGCATTGCTAATTGCAACAGCCCCCACCCTGCTGCATATTTGTCTTGAGAGAAACTCTTTGTTTCGAGAAAAGAGGTCAGGGGTTCATGTCAGAAGCCACAGTGTTGCTGGAACCAGACAGAAAGCAGAACCTTGCCGTCTACCTCAGCTTCGGAACGCAGTGAACCCCAGCGTGAGTGTGGAGCAGTCATATAGTGTGTGATTCTGACTCTGTCTCTTTTGCATTCCAAGCACCGGCTGTGTATTGGGAGTTGGACTCGCCCTGTCCCTCATGAGCCACAGCAGCCACACGGAGTCACGAGTTCATGTGGCAGCATCTCTGCGGAAGCTGTCTACCTACCTAGATGACAGTGCGAGCCAGAGCAGGACGTTTCAGGAGGTAGGACGCGGGGTCATCTCGCCCTGCTCCGCCGTCTTCCGCTTTCTCATTGCTGCTGCTCTTTTTGCCTTAGAGTCTAGTAACCCTCGAACTGAAAATTTCAGTTACAGGTACAAATAGGCAGAAAATCAAAATGGCAAGCCACCTATGTATTCCATCACGAGGCCTCCAGATTGCACTTAGACTTAAATGTGGTATAGGAGATGAAACCACTGGAGAACACAGAAACCCCCAGCAGCGTCACTCCAGCACTTCCCAAGAACTGCAGCTTCTGGGGACTAACTTGAGGGTTTTCAGAACTGTCCTCAAGTGAAATGTAACTTTTAAAACCAAGTCAGAAACAAGCTTAAGAAACCACAAATAAATGCCCACTAGTATGAAAAATTATTGAGGAAATTCCCTTTACAATATTTGGTAAAAAAAGGCTTTTTTCCACCCTGGTGTGGCAGAAAAAGATGCAAAGAGTTGGTGTGACACCATTGCCGTGTGTGGCCCATGTTTAGCGGGGATGCTTTAGGTGTGTGTCGTCTTCTCTGTGGTGCCCAGGTAAAGCTGATCTGCCTGCTCCCGCCTATGGGAGGGGCAGGGATGACCTTGTGGCCGGGCCAGATTCTCCCGCTCATTAGAGCAGATTCTCTTTTCCCCCAGCCTGCCCACAAGCTATTGATGGGTACATAATGGCTGTTGTGTTTCCCTGCTCAGCTCCTCTGCTTTCAGCAGTGCGACTTGTTGAATTGGGGAATTTCTTTGTGGCCCAGAGAGTTGAAGTTTTGTTCTAGGTATGCCCTGCATTTCCATTTTTAAAGTAGCGTGGAGCGTGATTTACAAATGTGTGTGCATACCTATATGTGTGTATGTATATAGTGTGCGTTTGTGTGGGTGTGTGTCGAAGAAAGAACAATTTGATCAATCAATGAAGACAAGGTTATTGTACGGATGCTTTTGTCTGCTGTGATGTTTTGATTAATAAATCCTCCAGCAAGTGGTTTTGCCCATCCTCAGATGTTTTCTATCTGGCTTCTTCCTTGGAGGCTACTTGTGTTTTTATGCGTCAGCCAGCACTGGGAGTTGAGCAGCGTCATGTGAAAGGGTTTGATGGTGAACACGGGAGGTAGCAAGAAGGGGTTTGCAGAAACTGGCTTTCCCAAACTGACCCCACAGATGGAATTTTAGAAGATGCCGAAGTATCACCTCTGCTCCCTTTATCGGTTTTTATTTATTTATTTGTTCTTATATCCATTCGTTCACTTACTAAGTTTCACACCTGTAACAATGGCAACCACAAAAAAACAGAGCAGAAACAAGTCCTCTCAGTTTCACATGATTCATCTACCTCCCAAGCCTGCATTCCTGTTCACTGATGCTCTCAGGCCCTCGCAGGGAATGGAAACACAGCTGTGTCTCACGTCTTTCCTGTGAGTCTGGAGTGGCGTGCATGGCACGTGTTAGTTGGTAAAGATCTACTTCCTTACGCTGCCGACTTTGCTGTGGTGGCATCAAAGCTGTGAGCAACTTTGGTTTGGAGGCTGAAGACCCACATTTGAATCCTGGTTTCATCTCATAACTATTTGCATTTGAGCCTCCAAATCCTATCTAAAATGATCCCCGTCTTGACCCTATTATGAAACAGCATATAAATCACACAGCAAACTGTTAGCCAGTCTGGAGTATCTATATCTAAATCCAGCTCTCCTGGGCAATTTGACAGATGAGCGATACCACTTAAGCCAAGGTCTTTGATTTTGCCTGTGAGCAAACATTTTTTCTGCTGTGTTTTCTTCTCAGGTCCTTGCCTACACTCTCAGCTGTGTGTGTACATCGGCGTTCAGTGCTGGCGTTATTGAGGCTGTGGAGGCTGAAGATATTATGAGCAAGCTTCAGCTGTTGGTAGAGAGCAACCAGCAGGTTGGGACATGTGCGCTGATGGTTTCTCCCCTTGAGTTTCATGCTGCTGTTGCATGCTGCCTTCTAGTTACTTAGGCTGGCGTGGACTCTGGTGTAGCTAGAACTGGTGAAAAGCCTGATAACTCTTGGCTGTCGCCGTTGTAGCCAGCAGCCACTGGCTACCAGATGCCTTTCTCATGTTTTATCTCTCAGCTTCTGTGGACGTTTGGCTGAAAATGTAATGATTTTTTTTTTTTTTTTAGATGTTGAGACAAAGTCTAGCTCTAACTAACTAGAACTCGGTATGTAGATCAGGCTGGCCATGAACTCATAGAGATCTGCTTGCCTCTGCCTTCCCAATGCTGTAATTGAAAGTGTGCACCACCGTGTGCAGCTTCATTGTGGTTTTTTCTCTTTCTCAGATCATTACTCTGTATCCATAAAATATTCAGTATGTGCTAGCATGAGATGCAGGAGAAGCAAGGAACTGTGAGGGGGAAGGAATTTAAGTTTATAGGAGCTGGTCTTCCTGTAAGTGTTCAGAATATGCTCTGCAATAACAATGTCAGGAGTGTTCATACACTGCACATGTTGTGGTGTGTTTTTTTTTTGCTTAGGAGGGGATTTTAACCTTGGGTGGTGAGCCTCGGGCTTTTCACACATACCTTGTTCTGAGAATTTAGAGCTACTGAGCTATCAATTGACAGGACAGAATTGTTCTTCTAAGATAAACTACACACAGCAGCAGAATTCCTTACAGTAAGACTCTGTTTCAAAGTCCACATCAAACTTTGGGATAGGAACCCTAGAAATGCTTCTTTTGCTCTGTGTATTATCAATGTTCTATATGAGTCCTTACCTATATATATATTTTCCCTTCGCCCCTATTTTTATTTGTACCAGACTTCAGGCTTTGCGCTGGCATTAGGAAATCTGGTTCATGGTTTGTCTGTGTGTGGACATGGAAAAGCTGAAGACTTGGGCAACAGACTCCTCCCCAACTGGATTAAGGTTGTCCTGGCAGAGGTAAGAGTCACCTGTATACTGTTCAATAATTTAGAGGAAAAATAGCTGATTGATTGGATTCCTTATAGGAACTGCTAAGATATATAGCCTAACAATAAATGAACAGGTAATTTCAAGTGAAAATGGCATCTATACCTTTAGTCCCATGTAAGTACAGTCTGTCAACTTACAGGTTGCCTTATTTTTTAAAAATTGGCTACTTGATAGGGCTTTACTTGTAAAACAATGTTATAGTTTTCTGGACAAATAGAACCAAAATAAGCCACCTATGATATAACAGCTTTAGTATGTTCCTTTGTTTTAGTCTGCTGTTATTTCCTGGTCAGTTACTAATTGTCAGTTGTATTGACCCTATGCATTTATCTGTTGTTATTTCATGGTCGGTTATTAATTTTAGTTGTATTGACCCTATGCATTTGTTATAATTTCAGTCACTGACCTTGCTGTGCACAGCAACTTATATAGATTTCACACCCAAGGCGTGCTTTGCCGTTGACTGTTTCAATTCTTGATTTGCAGGGTTCCTCCACCATGCTCTGTCTCGCAGCTCTTCATGGTCTGGTGGCGCTGGTAGGCTCAGATGTGGATGTCATGCAGGTAAAGCTAGGAAACTTGAAGGGAAGGAATTTGAATGCATATTTAACCATAGCAACAGTAGGGTGGCATTGGCTTAATATCCTAGTGGAAGAGGAGTTTGTGTTCATGGCGATAGTTACTCTGGGTTTTCAGTGCCTTGCTCTGTAAAAAAGTACTCCTGGCTGAGAATTCTTTCTGAAGAGATTGCTCTTTGTTTGGTTTAATTTATAGGAATCAAGCCTCTTAAAGTAGGTACTTTTCATAAACTTTCCTACCCGAGAAGGTAACTGAACCCTAAGAAATTTCAAAATTCACTCATAAGGAATTTCAATTCATATCTATAATATTCAAGTTTAAATCTTTGCAAGTGTTTTATTCTGAAACACTATCCTAGTGGACAGAAGTGTGTGTAAGTTTATCACAGTTCAGAATTACACACCTTTGTTCATATAGTAAAACTCTGAGGGACTGCTATGTGCCCCCCTGAAAAGGTGCTAAGAAATCAATGGTAAATAAATCCTGGGCCCTGTCTTTGAGGAGCTTTCCACTTACATGCTTGAAATATTCCAACAGCTGATAAACTGTGCCAGTCCTAGATGATGCTCACGTCCTGGCTCATTTCCACTCACTCTTTCAGCTCAAGTCAGAGGCCATCCAGAGCGCCCAGTCTCAAGCAAGACTTAATGAAGTCATTCGAACCTTAACTGAGGTAAGGAGAGGAATTTTCAGCCCCCGGGTGGAACACACGTCTCTTCCCTTGTTATCTTTTTCATACTGCTTGTCATGGTGTGTCTTACCTGGCAAATGTGAAAGTCTAACAAACTTTCATGGGCATTTCAAGGTAGTACATGGGCCTGTGTTCATTGACAGATATTCCCTGCTCCTGGGGGGCGGTGGGGGTAATACTGGCTTTTGTGAGTTAAGTTGTTACTGAATCACCTTAAAATGAAACCTGACCTTGCAAGGGTTATCTAGCTTTTGGGACAAGGACAGATGCATTGTGGGCAAAGGGCAGGGCAGATACCCGGGAAGAATGGTCAGATGGCATTAGTTCAGATGAGAGTTTGTGAGTTAATAATTGTCCTTGTTGTCCTCGCGGAGGCATAGTCATACTCATCTGCTTATAAAGCTTTGATTTCTTAAAGCTTTACATTTACTGGGTGAAAGAGCTGGAGCCAGTGTAGCCCCGGTCCTGAGGGCACCGTGTGGACACTGTGTGCCTCTTCCCAAGCACCTCGTCCAAGCGCGGTGTTTATGACTGCTATTGCTTTCGGGCTTATTTTTCCCACTTAGCATACTTGTTTTCATTCTTACAAAACATGGCTAATCATAATACCTAGCACATAAAGATGTTTTCATTCATGGTGGAAAAGCATGAATTTCTGAGCAGAGAAAAATATTTTATATATGTGAATAAGAATGTGCTCAGAAAAAAGAATTCTACTGAAATTTAAGTTGTTAAAACTTGGAAGAATTGGAAATAATTATTTTAAAATGTTCATGAATTATAATAATCAATGATAGAAATTATTTAATAAAGAATGAGTTAAATTTTCCTTCTTTTTTTAGAAATACATTATTAAGAAACTTTCTCTTCCTTTCTACTTTTTGAATTTTTTTCTTTTAAGACAGGATCTCATGTACTCTAGGCTAGTCTCAAGCTGTGTAGCCTAGAGTGACTCTCAATTCCTGATCCATTCAGGTGCTGGGATTATAGGCATGAGCCACCACACTTAGCATACGCTGTGGTGAAGCTGAACCCATGCCCTTTTGCACACTACGCAAATACTCGGCCAACTAGGCTCCAGCCCCAATCCTTTTGGAGCTTTCTTTTACCAGTTTTTGAGAGCAGTCTCGCTCAGTGAAGCCCAAGAATATTGCTTGTACTTTCTGCTATAATTGGTTCATTCATTCAGCCGCTACTTAACAGCATAAGATTCAGGTCTAGTGTAGGAGACTCATGTTAGCATCTAGTTATAGAGCTTCTTGTTCTCAACTAAGCCTCTATTTCCTACAGTGTTAGTGATTGTCTATGGTGGCCTTCTATTGAATAGAACTTGGATTTTGCCCCATCGCCAAACTGCTATGTTTTCATCCATAGGTCATCAATGTCTCGGGGGTGATTGGTCTTCAGTCAAATGCAATATGGCTTCTAGGACATCTTCATCTATCTACTTTGTCTTCAAATCAAAGCAGAACTTCTGGTAAGATTAAAGTCCTGGAACCGGAAGAAGAAATGGCTAACTCGGGATTACGCACTTTGTTAAGGGAGTTGGGTATCACAACAATTCCACATGATGGGCGTTATGATCTTTATTTTACATCCAAGCAAAATGGAGTACAGAGAGGCCTCCAGACCCACTGCGGGTCATATGGCAGAAAGTGGTGCTTTGATTTAGATTTATTGGCCTCCAAACCTCATATTCACTTACACTTCCTCTCTTGACTCCCTTAGAGGACAGTGTAGACATTCAGTCAAGTACATGTATTTGACAAATGAAAAATATGAGGCTCAGAAATATTATATGAGTTACATTAAGAGTTTGTTTAGTGACAGGTCTATAAACAAAGGATCACATCCTTGAAAGCTTGGAACAGACATTTTATTTTTATAAAAAGTTATGGTGTTATGTTTCATTAAAAATCTCTTTATGCAGAGCTACACAGTGAGACCCTTTCTCAGGAAAAAAAAAAGTCTCTTTATTTATGACTGGGATTTTTCTGCCCAATGGCTCTATAAAGGTAATGAGGAAAACACATTCAAAGATATGTACCTTCTTAGGGGTTTCAATCCTAGCTCTTCAAATAACAAAGCCCTTCCTATTTGTATCTTTTGATAAAAGCAATAAAAATATTACAGTTCCCATGTGCTTATGCTTGTACTTGGAGATTTTCTGGGAGAAGAACCACCTTAATATATCTGTCCCTTGCTCCTTATAAATGGTATTTTGACCCTCTGGCCCACAGAGGTTTTGAAAGTAAAGATCCATCACTAAAACTTGGTTTCATGTATTCCTGGCAGGGCATCTGTGATAGCATAGCGATGAATGTGGGCTTCTACAGTGTTTGATTCTCTCACTGCCGTCTCTGCAGCTTCAGACAGAGGCCTTTGGTCCACATCTTTTCCAATATGATGAACTTGACAGCTGGAGGCTGTCATGTTAATATAGGAAAGGGAATTTACAAACACCTTATTGGAAACTTTTGCTAGTGCTAGTTTCAAAGGCTGGGGCTCTTACAGCATCCTGGTAAAATAGCACATTATGCCAGGCTTTGGGTTCGCGCGCGCGCATTTGTGTGTGTGTGTGTGTGTGTGTGTGTGTGTGTGTGTGTACGCGCACGCACATGCGCGCACACATGCCAACTTACAGTTGCATTACAGAGCACTTAGTCACATCAAGTAATGGTGAGTCAGCTTACACACGGATTCTTATGAACAAGATAATTGTGTGTCTGGAAAACACAGCTACTCATTTCTAGTGGAATTTTCCAGTTGAACCATTCATTGCAATGAAACTGTGTCATGAAACCATTATGAGAGACGGGGAGGAAAAGGATTTAGGGAACTCTCAGGACTCGGCTTGCAGAGATGTCATTGGCTCACTGGTTCAGGTCAGCAGCCACATCTGGTTCTTTGCACACGTTGATCCCTTAAAGGGCTCTGCCTTCAGAAGGAGATGGTTCTGTTAATCCCGGGTTTTGAATTTCCTGGGTCCATACAGTTGGTGCAGCATTCTAACAAGCCTGTAGGACAGTGCCTACGCTTAGGAGCCCAGCTGGCTCCTCGTCTACCCTGAGGAGGTCGTTGGGCTGGAGCTCATTGTTGTACTAGTACACCAGGGAGGGAGGTTTTTTTTTTTTTCCCCCACCACTTCGCCGGAGTATCAGCCTGTGTGAGTTTTCTCTTTACGTCCCTCCTAGGTTTGTCACCATTTTACGTTTTCCCAGAGAGCCGGAGTGATTCCCTGAAGCCAGTCCCTTGGTCTAGTAGAATTAGCTGCAGCCACAGGGGCTTGTGCTGACAGTCATGGCATACCCATCTCTGCCTTGTCTCTGAGCTGAGACGGCCGCATGCCGTCATTACCTCTCCTTCATTAGCCCTGCCAAGTTCGCTAGTTAATTTGATCATTTTCTGCCTCCACAGTGCCTACCGACTACAGCTATTTGCCCGAAGGCAGTTTTATTAGAGCAGCCATTGGCTTCTTCGTTACAGGAGGGAAAAAAGGCAAGTGAGCACTTTTCTTGGATTTTATCATTTTTTTTTTCTTCATGTTCTGTAAGTTATGTGCCTGAAGCATGCATCTGTAACATCAAACAAGTCAAGTCTGAAGGGGCGAATGCTGTCTTCTGCTAAACCATCTTCCTGGACGACTAGGAAGCTAAGTGCTGTGTAAATATGCAGACTGTGTCTCCTCTTTGTGGGTGGCTCTGTGAACACTTTGGTCACGTAGAGGTGCACCAAGTGTGCATTGCTCTTCCTGTCTGTCTCAGTGACTTTGGCGTAGATAGAGAAAGCATCCCAGGCCCGGCTGGGAAGTAGCCTTGGTCCCTGACCATGTCTGGTCATTTTGCGTTGCTAGAGTCATGGGCTCTAACTCCTGTTTCTAGCTTGAGTTTTTTCTTGGCACTCAATTATCTTGCCTTGCTCCCTGGGTTGTGGCCATGTTAGAAGATAGCGGTTCAGTGTCTCAGTTTAACTGAACCCAGAGCAGTGCCATGTAAGTTTACTGAAGAGGAGTTCTTTAATGACACAGGCTTCTCCGAGTGAGAGGAAGAAGTATAGGCTGCTAGCCCTGGATCTGTCCTGGATCCTGCCAGTTTCGTTAATAGAATCGTCTTTCAGTGACGTCCACTACTTCCGTCCTTCTTTCCTGACTGGGCCAATCAGTGGCTATGTGATAGAAAGACCATTACAATTTAAAAAGAAAATAATATGTTTTTAAGTGAATTAAAATTAAGACTGCAAGAAATCTGGAAGGGGTGATTTGATAACTAAAGTTCATGGAAAATCTTTCCATCAAAGAGAAAGCATTGTTGCTTGATGTATGCGTCCCCCTGGGAACAGCACCCCGGGAGCTATTTTTTTTTAGCCTGGTCCTATCAGTCTCTAGAGGTGAGGATGCATGCTCTTATTCTAGGGTTGTGAGTTAGCACTGTTTGCTTCTAATCTTTTTCCGTGTAAAAATTGACATATGATTATGCCATTGATCTATAAAAGCACTGTTGCATATAGGATGCAAATTAGTTTAATGGTTATATTGCTATGGATTATGTCCTCTTAAGATAGATATAGTAGAGATGTCTTCATTAGGAAGAATTTGAGTTCTCACTGAATGATCACCTGAATTTTCGACAACCAGAATAAATGTTAGCACCATGTATTTTTATTGTTGTTCATTGTTAGTTTATAAAATTTAAAAATGATTATAACGTGAGAGACTGTCATGAAAAATGAAGTAATAACTCTGAAGTCAGATAAAAGGCTTCAAAAAAGTTTTTTTTTCCCTTTTCTAGCAAATAAAATATTTTGGCCTTCCAAATTCTTATTTCTCACCAAAAATAAATTTTCTCCGAATCTTCTGGGGGCTCTTGGCTCACTGTGACAGGTCTGTGATCCCATAGTGCTGGCTCGCCAGGCAGGCCTCTGCTTGGAGACTGGACGCTCAGGTGGACCTGAGATGCCGTGGGTGGTGAGCCGCCTTGCTGGAAACTGCTCTTACAGCCGGCTGCTGCAGGGTTTAAAACTGCCGGCTTACCAGTTGGATTTTTGGCATTTTCAGGTTGTGGGAGAGGGCTGCCTTCCTGTCAGGTTTACTGACTAGATTCAGAGGAAAATCTATTCAGCCCACACATTACTAATGATGACCCCAGAGGAGTGGGGGCCGTGGGAGGCTGACCTCCGCCTCCAGAGCCCATTTACAAAAACAAAACCAGCCCCTGCTCTGCGGGACTAAAGGGGATGGCCAAGTGCAGAGGTGTACATGCAAACGAACGCTTTCTTCTCCAGCATGCCCAGCTCATTTGAATTCTAATAACTCCCCTCTGAAGGAGCTTTTGAGTGTAAATGTCTGGATGTCACTCAACAGAGCCCGGTGGGGCTGCTGGTAGGAAGGATGGCAACGTCAGTGAACCCTTTTGAGAAGGAAATGGTTTTTTAGAATAGAACGCATGCTTGGTGCAGGCAGAAGATGGGCCGCTTCAGGGATGGCACGGCTTCATCGCCTCTGTGGGCTATTTTTAACTTTAATAACTAACAAGAAAAAAAAAGTGTGAAGGGTTGTATTTGATTCACACATGTGCTGGAATGGGAGCGACATGGAGATTTCCAGCACAGCCCATGAAATCTGAGAGGAACGTGTCAGACTGCTTTCTGAGGCATAGGACTCGCCACGCTCTGTAGTCGCACCTTAGTCGATGTGTGATGTGAGAGCATCCGTTCCCTCCAGGGGGCCTGCACCCCACTGCCTGCACCCCACTGCCTTACCCAGTCAGTTCTTAAGGAATCCAGTTCCTGGCCTTCCTGTCTTTGTTTGCTGTCTGATCTGACCCTGTTGGCCCTTCTGTCAGGTCGATTCCTTAACTTTAGTAGTTTTCATTCTCAGTTACTGTGGGATTTCTCAGCTTTGCCTGCCTTGAAGTCTTTGCTCAGAAGTAAGTTCCTCCAGACCTACCTACCTTCGTTCGTTCCTTCCTTCCTTCCTTCCTTCCTTCCTTCCTTCCTTCCTTCCTTCCTTCCTCCCTCCCTCCCTCCCTCCCTCCCTCCCTCCTTCCCTCCCTCCTCCCTCTCTCCCTTCCTTTTTTCCTCTTTCTTTTTATACAAGGTCACTATGTAGCAGAGGCTAGTCTTGAACTCACTATTCGGTATTGAACTCCATATGTGCTAAGGCTGGTCTTAAACCCCTGATCCTTCTCACTTCTTCCCCCAAGTGCTGAGATCACAGGCATGTGCCACCCCTCCCCAAGTTCTAATTTTGAGTCTTGCAATTTTCTGCCTTTTCTACTCATCCTTCTGATTTTTTATCTTTATGATTTCTCAATTCCATACCATTTCAGACTTCATCAGTATTTATTTACCTCTTTAATAGAACATTTAAAACACCTAATAAACATAATAATTCTTTCTGGTGTCAATATTACACTTTTCTGGACTGTTACAGTATAACTGGACTGTTATGTTGTCATTGGAGAATTGGCTACGGCTTTCTAGGCTCATATTTTATAATAGGCTTTGAAGTTAATAGCATGAAGTGTTACCTGAGGAAAAATATAAATCTATGTAGTACAATGAGTGGTATTTCCTCTAATTAACATTGATCAGTGATCTATGCAGATAAGCTGTAGGTTTCTCCACAAATTATATGGTTTTTTTGTGTGGGATTTCATTTTGGACTGGTGTGAGATTTACATGCTGAGACAGTGTCTAGCGGAATTAGTAAACCGAATACACAGTGACAATATCAAAAAGTTGTCTATTTTAGAGAGTTGGTTGCCAACCATGTGCCACTTTTAAATATTTTGAATTATTACTATTTTACCTATACAGCTCTGAGAACATTACTAGAAGTAAACACATGTGTATGGCACTGATTTAGAAGCGGCATGAGGAAGAAGATAGCAACTGAGCAGAATGACTCCTACCTGTAATCCCAGTGCTTGGGAGGCTGAGTCAGAAGGGTCACGGGGTTTTAATGCCACCCTGGGATACATAGTGAGTTCCAGGCTGACCAAAGCTGTAGAATGAGACCCTGTTTCAAAAAACAAAGGGGACTAGAGAGATAACTCAAATGGTTAGGAGTGCTTCCTACTGTTACAGAGGATCCGAGTTTGCATCCTAACACCCACATCAGGCGGCTCACAACTCCAGCCCTAGGAGACCCAACACGCCTTTTGGCCTCCTTGGGCAACTGAACTCACAGGGCATAGACTCACACACATACACATGAATAAAACAATGCCAAACAAGCAGAAAACCAAAAGGAGATTTTCTGGAACATCAGCCCTAGAGATGGCTATTGAGATTAGTCCATTGTATGTCCTTGGCAATGTGTATATGCACTTTATCCATTCAGAAAATATATAATGCCTAATTATCTGATTTTTAAATTTAATACCGGTTCCTGCACACAGCTGTCTCTTACCTTCCATGGCAGCAGGCACGGAAGACCTAAAAACCTAAAAACTGATGTAAATCCTTTCTTCTCCATGTTGCTTTTGGTCATGGTGTCTTTCACAGCAATTAGAATGCTATGTTTTGTACTTTTAAGTACTATTTCTCAATTTCACATTTGCCACTATAAATGACTGTAGAGTATTTCATCATGGAACAGGCAGGATGGCTCGGTGGGTAAGGCAGCTTAATGCAAAGGAGATGCCCAGAATCTACACGATAGGACAGAACTAACTCCTGTCATTTGTCCTTTGACCTTTGCATATATATGTAATACATAAGTAAATGTAATTGATACCTCATTAAGCTGACATATTACAATTAGTCATTTCACTCTGGGTCATTCTTAAAGTTTCTGTATAGTGAAATCTTTATCCAGGTAGGCTTCTCTCTTCTACTGTGGCTTCTCTTGTGGTAAATTCTCAGCAGTTTATTAATAGTGAGCAAGAGTGTGAACATTTGGTAATGAGAAGGACGGCATGACCCTTTTAAATATTTATGGGGGTGCACACATGCACATGTGTGTGTATGTGTCTGTCTGTGTATCTGTGTCTGTGTCAGTGTCTGCTGTGTGTGTGGAGTGCCCTGAAGCTGGAGTTCCGGACAGCTTAGAGCTGCCCAGTGTGTGTGTTGGGAGCAGAACTTGGGTCCTCTGAAAGAGCTAACTCTCTTACTCATCAAGACACCTCTCTAGACCATGGCATGGCTTCTCAATGCTGCAAAAGGATTATGAACCCTTTCTGAAAATAGAAACCAGTATATCATAAAGGTTAAAATACAGGAGTCAAACTTCCTAAGCTCCTATCCCAATTCCACTTCTTGCAGCATATGCAAATTCAGGCTGGCCATCTAACCTTATAGTTATAGTTGTTTCTGTAAAATTGAGAAAATCATTGACTCTTCATTATAGAGATTTTGAAGAGTTATTAGTCGGGTTATATAGTAGTAACTAAAGAATGAACAGTTTTCATTATAATATCCTATCATAAAGCATTGCAACATACATTAAAAATGAATGATAGCAACAAAAGTCATTCAGGTATATCATGTCCTAAGTG